GTACTTTACAACTGTAATTGTTTTGTTTTGTCCTGCGGTGGCGCCATGGTGGAGCAGTCGGATGGAGAGATTTCTGGATTCAAATATATCTATAGAATTCTTTTCACTTAAATTTTCATTTTTGTAAAACAAGTATCATGATAGCCCGTAGACAACAGTTTTAAGGAAATAAATGAGTAGGCAGGCTATAGTTAACGGCCATAATGGAAGTGGCTATCCTCACCCGGGGTGAGAATAAAAATTCGATTTAACTATCACCCCGGGTGACACTTGCCAGCGTAGGCTATTCTCACCCGGTGTGAAACAAGACCTGTTTTTCCTCATTTCGGAATACTGTCTATCGGTGTGGATGATCAAATTGATAAAAGCCAAGAAAAAATTACGTTATAGCACAAAAGTAAGCTAATTTGATCGTCTTCAAAGATGCTATGGTTATTTCACTTTTCGAATCGAGAAGTTCTCGCGCTACTCCTCTCTCTCTCTCTTTTTCTCTCTCTCCACTACTGCCCACAGACAAAATTGCACGCTTTTAGGCTAACACTAACAGTAGTCATAGATATAGAACGTTTGTTAACGACACAGAATTCTACAATTCTGTTATCACAGTGTAGAATTCTGTGGTTCAGGGTGAACGTTTCAGTGGTTGGCCTAAGATATAACGGTGAACGCCCACCGGGTGAGAATAGCCAAAAGACTCGCCTGCGCTATTCTCACCCGGGTTGAGAATAGAGGTGGCCTAACATAAATACAGGCCTACATAATATACAGAAGTACGGCTAATTAGTACTGCCTTTGACGCGAATCCTGGAGGTAGGTAGGTAGGTAGATATAATTAGATAGATAAATATACAGTCGAACCTGCCATGACGGCCACCACTATAAGACGGCCACGTACAAACGGCCACTTTCCATTTCACCCCTTGCTTTTTAATTTTTTTTTCTTCTTTGCAATTTAACTGTGTAAAACGGGCACCTGTCCAACGCGGCCGCGGCCACCCTATTTTATCAACCCACTGTCAAATGTACCTGCCTAAGGCGGTCAGACTTTTTCAAAAATTATGCATTATCCCCTGATTGTGGACAAGCCGCCATAATTCATTCCCCTGACGTTATTGTCCGTCCCTCAATGGATGAAACGGTCATGTTGCTTTAGGTCGCTCCCATTGCTTACTCAAGTTGACCAATGGGTAAAAATAAATGTTCTGCTGCTGGTAAGGAAAGCGTGTGATCCGTCATAACCCAGGCCTTCTCGGAAAACCTAGGTCATAACCTAAGCCCGCCCACAGCTCAGTCCGAAAACCCAGCCCACAACGGTCAATACAAACTCGCGAGAGAAGTGTTGCTCGTTCGCCGAGTGGTGGCGACCCATTTATTAATTTCGCTTTACTATGACACTTCACCTTCCTCGTCTAAAACATTTAATTTTGTTTTGATCTTTCCCGGAACCATAATTTAAAAATGAAAACAAAACTAACAACAAAAAGTCCCACAAAAACCGTACTTACTATCCTCTCCCCCTTTGAAAAGAAATAAATCAACAACAACTGTCGTGTCTTATAGCAACACATTTTAATCAGCCCTGGGGCAGTCCTAAACATGCAACCACCTCCAGTTGGGACCTCAGGAGTTAAATAGTTGGGTTTTTTAAATTTTGATCAGTCCTGCCTAAGACGGCCACCTATCTTATACGGCCACTTTTCCCCTCAACAATGCGTGGTCGTCTTGCATAGGTTTGACTGTAGATAGATAGATAGATAGATAGATAGATAGATAGATAGATAGATAGATAGATAGATCACAAAATTTAATACATAATATATATGAGCCTATTATATATATATCTCCTCCCCCCAAATAGATGAATAAATAAATAAAAACACCACGTGCACATGCATAAAAGCCAGGCCTGTATTACAATGTATGCATTATACAACTGATATTATTTTTATTCTTGTAAATACAAGTGTATGAAATGATAGGGCTTACATCAGTGTCCGGGCGGGGAAGAGGAGGGAAGAGAGAGAAAGGTACAGGGGGTGAGGAGTGGCGAAAATACGAGGCAATTTCAGAGAAAGAGAGAGAGAGAGAGAGAGAGAGAGAGAGAGAGAGAGAGAGAGAGAGAGAGAGAGAGAGAGAGTGTGTGTGTGTGTGTGTGTGTGTGTGTGTGTGTGTGTGTGTGTGTGTGTAAAGTGTGTGTAGGGGTGTGTGTGTGTGTGTGTGTGTGTGTGTGTGTGTGTGTGTGTGTGTGTGTGTGTGTGTGTGTGTGTAAAGTGTGTGTGTAAGGGGGGGGAGGGGTGCGAGAGAGAGAGGTGGGTAGGCATGAGACACAGATACGCAGTCACCGTCCAAGATCCTGGTTCGCTTAATAAGATCTCACTGTTTTTAGAAAAAAATTCTTTAGCAAAAGTTTCCCCTTGGCCTTAGATCCCACTCTTGGATTGCATTCTAAGATTAAATTTAGATCGTAATTTCAGCTCTAAACTTTGGCACGAAAACTCGGGCCGACATAGCTTATCAACCAAGCTGGGTAAAAATTAATGTTAATCATTCTTCTGCTGGTTGCGTCACAGATCAGCCACTCTCGTGATTGTGATCATAAATCTAAATCTCAAAGAGACGGTACCGAGTACCAGGACTCCGCGTTTGCCCCAGACGACATCGGATCCCTCGCTGAGGTGTGAACTTATCGCCGCGTTTGTTTTTCCCCCAACATTGCACTCGCATCTCGAGATCCGAACTCTCTATCTGAACTTATATCACAAGCTGGGTAGGGCCTATAATAAATCTGCATCAGATGAGACCACATCAAACCAAACATGATCTACTAGAATCCAGTAAAAAAAATCTTTGATCTAACGGTGAACTCTTCGGTGCTTATGTTTCCCTCACCATTGCATTCGATTTCTCTACTCCAAAATTGGCTAGACAGGTTGAATTTTTTAAATTCGTGCAAGTAGTCACACAGAATGGTGCCTTACGACCCGGGGGGGGGGGGGGGGTCGTTCAGAGATGGAAAGCAGCGAATTTTGGATAGGTAACGAATAAAGGGGATGACCATAGGATCGGCGTAGATTCTTGAGACTCAAGATTGGATTGGATACGTAAAAATTGCATGCCTCAAAATCATGTGACTGGTCATCAAGGATAAAATTACCTGGTCTATGTTCGCCATACCACATAAACCCACCCAAGGGTTATTTACTTCAGTTCATTTCAGAGTAAATTTAAGGAGGATCATTTTACCGATTGTGGGCCTTAACATGAGTCATCGGAGTCTCTTCTTGGTGCGTCGACGTCTAAGATCCCGTTCGCCTGAGATCCCGCATTTTTCGTGCACCTAATCATCGTGGTCTCAGGTGGAAGCTACTTATAGGGCCTATCTATGCCTCTGGCAAGTAAATGTTTAATTTTAATGTACATGCGTACGCACGTGTGTGCCCCCGCGCCCGGGCGCGCGCGCGCGCGTGTGTGTGTGCGTACGTGTGTGTGTGTGTGTGTGTGTGTGTGTGTGTGTGTGTGTGTGTGCGTTTGTGTGTGCGCATGTGTCGATGGGGGGGGGGGGGGGTAGGCCAAGGCATTGGCGGAAGGAGTCGAACGCTAGCACTTGAAAGGGGACTTAAAATCTTTTTTCTTAATCTTATCCAGCACCGAAATCTATTTTATTTGACATTTTACTGAGCGGCCATTTCAACAAATTAAATGGGCATGTATTTTTACTTTCGAAAGAGTCATTACACCACACCAAAGACAAGGAACAAACACGTTTTTTTTAAAAATGTGGTTCTCTGAATAAATTTGTGGTCAAAATGTGTGGCGCAACTTATAGTCACATTTTCCCTCAACTATTGAACATAAAGTCTCCAGCTTTTATACTATGATTTGTATCAATTTGTCTTAACATATCAATATTTTTTTAAAGCAATTAAAAACCCCGATAGATCGAGTTCCTACAGATTTTAAAGAGTTTACATGTACAGCTGGGGCAATATCGCTTTTAAAAGCAAAGTCCGTCATTTTTTTCTCTCTTATCCCTACATACATGCTTATTGAACGCAAAACTTTTGGAAACCTTATTTAGGGGGGGGGGGGGGGGGGGTTCACTAGGCCTATAAAATGAATTTTTGTTAATAATATACGAAAAATGTGAGTGAGAAGCGCTAAACAATCCTATTTTCCACGAGACAGAGATTTATAGTAATACATTGTCATGTACATGTATATATAAAATTAATAAGAAAAGTTTTATAGTCTAGCCTCAGTTGTTGTGGGAAAATATGATTAAGTTATGATAAACTGATACAGACTGTTTGTGCAAAGTATATTGATTCACCAAATGAATTTATTATCTTATGATAAGTTGCACTATGATTTTTTTGACCGCAGGTTTCCGGAGCAGGGGGATATCGTAGGCGTTAATTATACATGTAATTATAATGGTGTCTTTTCATGAAATAACCCCAGCCCCTTCCCAATAACAACAATTGTCACCATAAAGGCATGGCCTAAACATAACATTATAATTTTTATCGCGCTTGTTAACCAAAATAAAGATAGTGCTGTGAAGTGTTCTTTTATTGTGGAATGCAAGCCGTGGCGGTCGTCACGGTCAAGGGGACATAATAAGCGGTCTCTTCTGGATGAAGATAATACATGTACTTTTTTCCTTTCCCCAAAGAGGCCATTTTGTCATGTAGCTTACGTTGACTTGTTTGGAAGAATTTAAGAGTGTTGAAAATTGTCTGACAAAACTATGTTAAAAATTAACTAAGTTGAGAGTGAAAAGACGTCCTTTATTCTGATATGGAACATTACTGTAATTGCTTATGTTCAGCTCCCCATTCCGCTCTTTAAAAATGGGACGGTGAAACATAATTGTAGACAACTAATTGGAAGGGCCTTTTTCGCGTGATGCTTGGTCGAACTCAAACCTGCGCAAAGTGCGACTGCGCACAGGTTATAAACCAATCTTTCCTTCCGGCATAGCAGAGGATCTTCAAACTTGCCTGGACTTCGGGATTTTCTCGTTTGATATTGTTATTCATTGTAAGTACACGAATGGGAAGTTGTCATGTTTTATTGGGATCACTTCTTTCGTTTGAATTTCTGCTAAAATTCTCCAGCCTTTTAAGGTTAACCAGAAAAAAATCCACAAGTGACCATGTCAGACCAACCAAAATGGCTGACTTCTATCACGTCTTACATCCAGGATAAAATAATCACTTCCGCACTTGGGCTGTCCTTTTAATTTTACAATTTTTTAAGTTGAATAGCTGGGATGAGTACACTTTTAATCCCCATTATTGTCTTACAAAGTTTCAGTCTGTCAAAACCCGTTTGATGAGCCTGTGAGATAATGAAATGTGACAGTACCTGTGACACCAGAGTCAGAGCAGAGAGACTTTCCAGGCAGGAAGATGGGTGTGCCTTTGACATGACTAAGAACTTCGTTCATGAAATTGATACGATGCTGGGGACCCTAATTGCTTCATTTTTTATGAATAATGAATGGCATCAATTCAATCTTCGTCTTCACATAAGCATCGCATAGTTTGCACGTTGTTCCTACCCTTCTTATCACATCAGGGGGGCTCTTCTAGTTCTGCCCCCTCCAATCTTCATCCTCAAATTCACTTGGCTAATCATTGAATAATACAATTTCAAATGATTATAATGACTTTGATCCTTATCAGTCTGTATGAGCATGAGTTTGTTGAACTTGTCTGACTGTCCTGATCTGAACTATTGGGTTTTTGCTTACAGAGCCCTCACCTTTAATTAGCTAATTTTTGTGGTGTGTGTCTGCTTGAACTGGAAGATCCTGAGCCATGGGCCATATAGCCTTTTTAAGCCCAATGAAATGTTGCTGCTAATCTGTGCTATGTTAGTGTACTAGAATCTAGTTTTTCATTTTTTATGCAATAAAGACAACACTGTGCTGTAGCTTTTTGCTTTTTCAACACTGACCAAACCTGGAGGTGTCATCTGTGACTCAGAAATTGACGTGCAATGACCCACCAGCAACTGGTTACACGAGTTGCTGTTTTGCACTCGACTTTTAGGCTAGTCCATGCCTTGGTGAATATTATCGGTCCCTATTTCAACAACACTAATATAATGCAATGCTTGATGAAAGTTATCCGCAGAATTCCCAGTTTCATCATTGACATTATAAATTGTTCGATCTGCAATTGTGTCATGATGCGATGGAATCAGGTGCTCGTCAATTTTTGGGCATACATGGAGTTATTGTGGTGTATCATCTTTTAAGTCTGTCCATTTGTTTTGCATTTGATGAAAAAAGTATCCATTTATTTTGGATACACGTCGAGTTATTGGCGATTGAAAGTGGTGAGTGTCGCCTAGTTTCAGAGGTAAAATTAGTGAGAAAATGGCCGCCAGGGTAAATAGTTAAATTTTCTTAGGCTGAGAACCATGAAAACTGAAAATTTACGTGTTGTGTGCCTTTGATAAATGTCTCGCAGTAAAATCCCCACAGAAATGTGTTCTTTAATGGGTATGAAAGGTGTTGAGCCAAAATATTCGATAAAAATTCCTGAACCTACTGAAAAATGCCAATTTTTTTCACTTTCATTATTTTGACAAGCGCCTGATTTCATCACGCTGCCTCACATTTATTTGGATTTTTTTGAAGAAGTACTTTGGTGTTTATCAAATGTTATGTGGTGTCACAGTTCCTGTCGTGTTGTGTTTTTATCCTGCCAATATCCAGATCAAAGGAATATATAGAGGGTATCTCATGGATGTGGTTTCTACTTTTGGTGTCCCTAGCCTTGACTAGAAGAGAAATTCCATTATCAAGTGGAAAAGGTGTTGAAATATGCGAATGTTGCTCTTCTTAGATAGTGCATCTATTTATGGGGGAATATAATATAAAGCCCAGAGGTCTCAAGCCTACTTTACTTCATTCAACCCCTGTGTAATGTGTGTACAGTTATGTAACAAACCTACTTGGAATAGAACAGCTACAAAAAATACTTGAGTGCTTTAAAAACTGCTTGGCTTATACAACTGTATCCTGATGTCAAATCTTTATGAGCCTTTGCCAGAACCTGACACCCCTTAACATGTCACAGCTAGAGGTCAAACATTAAAAACAACTTAATTTCAGTTTCAATGCTATGAATATATGATATGTAGTTAATTGGTGTTATTTTCATTATCATGTGTAATTACCTCAGCAAAGTGAATATTTTGTCAGAAGTTAAGATGTTAGATGGTCACTTTGGGCTTCGGGATTCTGACTTGTATAGAGGAAATCTCTACTAGTGATAAAATTTGAAGAACACCGATCTGTTTAAAGTTAAAGTTTGACCGGTATCTCTACTACTTTTTACTCTATTTACGCCAATATCAAGCTTTTAAAAAAGAAAAAGAAAATTGCAATCCTATTTTATGATATTTGATGTAACATGTCATCATAGTGTGCGTGTCAGAAAGCCTGACCAAAACAGTTCTCTTTTCCAGCTTTTTTTTTTTGAAGCACCACTGTTCGCGGACAGCATTGCATACAGAGGTATCTCAAAAGTTGCCAAAATGACTTAGAAGGTCTATATGCAATACTGCATGCGTGTCGTGATAGTGATTTGTATAATGCGCTTTTATATTTTAAGTTGTATACTGACATTATAATAAGCTAATTTATGACATGAGTATGAATCATTTTTAAGATAGAAGAATAAAACAATTAAAAACCTTTTGCTTTTTGTGCTGCTCCTGCAGCATTTATTATATCAACAACGCATATAATCATATTTGTCACAACAGATATAAATATATTTTCTATAAGAGTACAAAACAGTACTGCATCACAGACTGTAAAATGCTGTGGTTCTGGCACAGGCTCATATTATTTTCTGAACTTAGTGGTGGGCAATACATGCTAGCAGCTTGAAAACCACCATCATTATAATGAAAATACTAATGAATGCATGCATATATTTTCAACTTGCTGCTGCAGAACAGGGAATAGGCCTTCAAATTAGTTATAATAAAAGCAAGTGAATTTTTCAGATTAATATTGTGTTTGTAATTTTCAAATAAATTGTGATTCCCATCAGAAAGAGATCACAAAATAAATCCAGTGAGCTTTCTATTATACATTTTTCAAAAGATGAGATTTTCATTTCCCAGTGACTAATTTAGTACCCTGTTGAATTTTTTTGTTCTTGTGTTGATCGGAAAATTAAGTAGCAGAAAGCAATCAAAATGTCTACGGTTTTTCAAATCAACCTGTCCATGGATTATAAATGTCCAGTAAGAACTACCATAATATAATAAAGAGCTTTTTTTGTGATAAAATTTTCTGAAGGGTTGGTAAACGTATGATAAGTGGGAGGTAACTTTTTTGTTGCGTCTATAAAAATCTCATAATTTTTTCTAATTTTTCCATCCAGGTGATCTGGTGCAATGCAAACCATAAAGTGTGTGGTTGTGGGGGATGGGGCAGTCGGAAAAACCTGCCTTCTCATTTCATACACCACAAATAAATTTCCTTCAGAATATGTGCCAACAGTAAGTACTTTGTTTTTTTTTGTTTCTTCTTATTGCTTCAACGTCTGCCAATTGTTTTGAAAAGGGAAAATATGTCATTGATTTTTATGTCTTGTTTGTCAACAATGTGACGGATGATAGTTTGTTTATTTTATTTAGTGTTGGTCTTTCAAGAATATTTTTCTCAAGTTTAGTGCCACGCCTGCATTTTTGGAGGCATCGTCAAATCCATCACAGAGCATGTCCAGACACTATTGTCAGATGTTTGTCCACTGTGCTATGGTGGTTGTGGTTTCAAAGATACATCTGGTTATTAATCATGATTATTCAGATTGTATGTGAATGTCAAAACTTTAACACTGAATTTCACTTTCCTGTAGATTAAATTTGGGGGGGGTAAATTATTGTATTTTGTTCTCATTTTGTAATAGAGAAAAGGTAGAGCTGATGTTATTGTAATCCTTATTCTCCTTTTTGATGTTTCCTTTGTGTTGAGTGATTTTTGCTGTGATTGGTGACAAGGAGACTGTGACTTTGGACCTTTTGGTTTTTTTAATTGATCGTTTTAGCTTCCTTTATCAATCACTTGACACTGATCCATTGAAGTATTGCTTTGATGATAATTTGAAGTCAAGAATTTGAAATTTTAAAAGAACAGAATGTCATAGACCCATAGATTCTAAAGGCCACCAGTCAAACATCAGCAAGTCAATTAAAGTGCTTTGATTCCCACATGGGAAGTTATTTTGTCCCATGTGTCTGCTGTTCCTGTGGGATGGTATATCTCACTCATTCCAAGCTGGCCCTGGCAGTCAGGTTTAAAGTGGGTGGTTGGCGGGTGCTCTGGTGTGGTTTGCTCTTTCTTTTCAATCGAACATCTATCGTCTCTATCTACCCTCTTTCTTTTTTTTTTTGTGTTTGTTACTACTCTCTTGTAACCCCTCTAATCTTCTGCACTTTTATAATGACCTTATTGTGTTGCCGTAAAACTCTTACTAAAACTAAAGTCAGGTTTAAAGCAGTTTGTCTCCTAAATGATATTGATAGCATTTTTATTCACTGATTCAGCCCGCAGCGCTGCTCACAGTGGCTAGCTGTCTCCTGTGTTTTGACGCAGAGCAGCTCAGAGCGACTCTTATTTTATTGCTCCCTTTCTTCACATCACTTTTCGCTCTTCTTTTTTCCTGACCACTTACATTTTAGCCCCTTTTTTCTGTTGTCATTGAATAGTATTTTTTATTCTTAACATTTCTAAATGCCACTCATAGAGTTTTAACAAGTTTAGATATTTCTCTAACTTTTAGAGAGACCACTCGTAAGGTCACAAAGCAGCCCCAAATTATTTGCATCTGGAGTCAAAATTATCTGCGGGCTAAATCAGTTTAAGTTAAAGGGGAGTGAAATGTGAGCAGTCATTTTGAAAGCGAGTAGAGAAAGAAGTAGTGCTGCCATTGTCTCCCAAGCGATATTGATTGCATCTCCAAAAGGGCATGAAATGTAAGCGATTGTTTCGATAAGGAGTAAAGAAGGAAGTGGTGGTGCAGTTTCATAGTGTGGAAATGTGCCAGCCGAATGTTTGTCCCACTTCTAACACATACGTCACCATCGTTGACAAATCCTTTCATGCACTTGTCTCTCAGGGAGGTCAAGAATGTGGGTCAATTGGTCGTGTTTTCTGTGCCTTGAATGTCAGGCAGCCCGAAGTGTGTCATTGATATCAGGTCATTGCTCTTGATTGTTTTGCCTGAAACACACCGTGTGTGTGTCATGGAGGAAATGACAATGACCGTCTTTTGGGGGTGGAAGTCATGTCTTAAAGTTTAAGTGGATTACGTGGACATTCCAGCTCCCACAGGGTAGCTTTCTCTTGCCCAAACCTAGCCCGTGATTAGTCTCTTCGCTGTCGCACGCAGAAGATGGGGGTTATTTGTATGTATTGAGAATCTACGTCTGTCTGCTGGGGTGTTTTGTCCCACTCAGCCTGGATTTGCCCTGATTGGCAGGATTGAAACGGGAAGCTGGCCTCGTAAATAATAATTTAAAAATTTTGTCATTGGGGGCGTAAAATCTATTACCCACATATATGCATACACTTTTTGTAGGGTTTGTCTATGGCTGTTATTTATTCATAATCATGAACTTTACATTAAAAGTCCTTTTCAACCCACCAAGGCGGTGCCACTGACTGTAGTGTCTTCAGGCCATTCCCAAACGGGGGAAATTTCTCGTTCAAGCTCAGTAGAATTGTAAATGGGCTGATTTATCATGTCAGGCTCATAACTGTACCTTATCTACAACAGGGAACTGCTGCTTTTTCTTTCCTAATCCTTACTATACTTACTATCCCCCCCCCCAAGGCAGTGCCACCGACTGTAGTGTCTTTAGGCCATTCCCAAAGGGGGGACATTTCTCATTCAAGTGCAGAAGAAAATGGGCTGATTCATGTCACGCTCATAACTGCCTGATCTACAACAGGGAACTGCTGCTTTCTCTTTCCTGATCCTTACTATTGTCATTTTCCTCTCTTCTTTTGTATGTTTGTCACTCTCTTGTGACCTGCTTTTTCCGGGGTGCCTTGATAGTTGAAGCAGACCTTGTGCTGTTGAAGCTAGAGAGGTGGGCAGAGTGGGTCCGATTCCCTGTAAAGACTTTTCTGTTGACACCCACCCCTTGGCGCTCATATGACCTTATGCAGTTGCGAGTGCCGTAAAACCCTCTACTATAATAAAAATAAATAATTTTTACTGTTGTCATTTTCCTCTACTTCTTTTGTATGTTTGTCACACTCTTGTGACCTGCTATTTCCTGGTGCCTTGATAGTCGAAGCAGACCTTGTGCTGTTGAAGCTAGAGAGGTGAACAGAGTCAGTCTGATTCCCTGTAAAGACTTCTCTGTTGACACCCACCCCTTGGCGCTCATATGACCTTATGCAGTTGCGAGCGCCGTAAAACCCTCTACTAAAAATTTATTTTAAATCCTTTTCAACACCGCCAAAGTGACATGGGTTGCTAAGTGTATGTTAATTTGAACTAACTACTAATTTTTTCCTGATCCTACACATTGAGAGAATTGTTCCCTTTCCTTCTGTTGTTTCTGTTTGTCTGACCTTTTCCCAGCAGTGACCACTGTTGTGCTGATGTGCTTCTCTTTACTCAAACAAACAAACGAATCCAACCATTTGTGTGTGTGTGTGTGTGTGCAGGTGTTTGACAACTATGCGGTGACCGTGATGATCGGGGGAGAGCCCTACACCCTGGGCCTGTTTGATACCGCGGGTCAGGAGGACTACGACAGGCTACGTCCACTCAGCTACCCTCAGACGGACGTCTTCCTCGTCTGCTTCTCCGTGGTCACCCCGTCCTCCTTCGAGAATGTCAGGGAAAAGGTAGGTCCATCCTTCATGTTTAGAGGGGAGGGGGTTGTTTGAGGAAACTCCTTGGTCACCCAAGCTGGGGAACCTCGAGGAATGGTGGATCTTTTGTGATACAAGAAGTTTGTTTCAAAGGTTTTATTTATGTATCTTTTTTTTTTTTTTCCATTCTTGAGACTTTTTTCTTCTTATTTTCATCATCATTCTTCCTGCTTGTCCGTGGGTCGTTGGCGGGTACTTTGGTAGGGTTTGTTCCTTCTTTTCTATCAAACATCTATTGTCCTTATCTCTCTACTTTTGCCTTGTATGTGGTCTGTAGCAACATGTCTCGTCTTTGGCAAAGGTCAAGGATAAATTTGGTTGATCAGGAGTTGTATTTTGTACAATTTGCATTTTGTTTTTTTCAAATTCAGCTTCTTCTGGTTTTTCTCTTCCATTCTGGGGACAGTACGAGGGTGCTTTTATTTGTTCTTTTTCTTTCACATTTTTTTTCATTTCTTATTTCTGTTTTGTTAATTGCTTTTGGCCCCTGTTCATAATAATCATTATTGTGTCAATGTGCTTCTCTTTGTGAGCAATTGCCAATACGTGAGACTCCCTTGAGACTCAGTGGTGCAAAATATTTTTTCTTACTAATTTGACTCCCTTTTCTGTCAGTCACAGATTGACATTTAGTGCTCATATTCCTAGAGTATCAGAGCAAGGAGATGTAGGGTTTTGGAGATATGGGGCTATTGGTTTGGCTTCCACTGTATTTCTTGTATGTAACACTGATGACAAGAACAGATAAGCTGCACGGCAAAATATAGACTTAAAATTCTATTTGTTTAGTAAACAAAGACTTTGTGCATTATGAACTCCATTCATAATGGTAATATGAATGATAAACATTGTAACAATGACGCAGTGCACACAACATGTCATCATTGTTATGTACAAGAAAGGATACACATTAGGCATTATTAATGACAACACAACTCAATAGTGAAAGGCTGTACAAATACAGTTATCAAAACCTCAGCACCAGAAAAACACACGTGTAAAACAATTTTAAAACAAGTAAGAGGCAAAAGCACAAAACCAATAGGGCTGGCTTGTACATAACAGTGATGACAAACATGATTTGTACATAACAATGATGACACAATGTCCTGGAAAAGACAAAGTCATGTCTTCAGAGAGAAATGCGCACTTTAAGAATATAAGAAAAACCAGGAGAGGTTTCTTTTGCTTTGAAACAGATATCAGGTCATATCAAAGACTGTGGACAATCACAATTATGTTGCTTACTATAACAAAACAATACTCGTACTTAACAGTGATGACAAAACATACTGGGAAAAGGTAAAATCATGCGTACAAAGAACAAATTTGCACTATGAGATACGCAGGTCAAAGGCATATTTTTGCTTCTAAATGAATCTTGCATGTATGAAATATATGTTGAAAACTTATTGATATTAGCAATGATGACAAATATTACTTGTACAAAACAATGATGGCACAATGTATTGGAAAAAGACATATCATGCCAACCAAGAACAAATGTGTACTTTTGAGTTAGACAGATAAACAAGGACGTGTTTGTTTATTTGTCACGGCGTACAGACAGCGCTCTTTTAGTTGGATCGGCGATGGATTGACCGGGTCACGGCGGGCCGGTCACCCAGAGGTCACTAACCCGCCCTCCCGCTACCTGCGTCGGTAGCCGGTGAAATTAATTTTTCAACACATGTTTTATCGTCTTACACAAACAAAAAATATACGTGAACACAAGTTTGGTTTTTAGAGAAAGCAACTAAACCTCTTTATTGGTACGAAATAGCAATACCATGGCTGCTCACGTTTTTGAGTTAGATGCTCTTAAAATGTATGTCTATTTATAGTTAGTCAAAACAACAAACACATATTGAATGGCTAATAACTTATAAGCCTAACGATAAATATTTACAAAACTGCCACGTAAGACAGGAAAATGTGTTTAGAAATTGACTCACTCAAAATTTTGTTTCCAGCACGAACATGAAACTTGTCATGAGCATGATAGCCAAAACGCTTCCCTGCATTTATGACTTTTTGTATCCAATGGATTGTGTATCCTCCTGAATAATGATATACTGATGTATCTTCAATATACAGCACCGATTTCTTTTCACAAAATGAACATGTACAGAATAAAACTATAAATTTATACAATTTTTCTTTCTAAACATATCCAGTAGTACGCAATGAGGGGGCTATTTGCAGGAGATGCGACACAAAAAATAAAACGCATTATGTCTATCTGGTTTGAGATCCTCCGTGCTCTGGCTTCCAGTTTTGAGATCGCTTGGTTGCTGCTTTCTGTGTCCTGTTCTCCTAAAAGCCCGAGAGCAAACATGTGTTGTTGTATGTGTGGAATACAGTGTTGCTATGATATGTGTGGCTTTGGGATAACTTTGCGGGGAAATAGCGTCTGAATGCGGACATGTAATTGTCGATTGCTACGGAGATTTCTGGAAGTGAAAATTGTTTGACGGTTTCAGATGTGATATTGCAGTGTGAACATGGCTAAATCTTTCATTGAGAAGATTGAATATTGCTTCCAGTCCACTTGCCTTCTCAATTTTTGCAGTTTCGGGGGAGTATTTTCTTGTTTCTGTATAAATTGTTTGTTAGTTCCTTGCATACATGGGGATGGGGGGAGGTATGCTTGGGGTGTTTTACGATGTTAGCTTGAAATGGATCTTTGTATGCAGCCACCTAAGCGGTACCGACAAAACGGAGAAGGAATTCACATTTATGCTATTGTCAAACGCACACCACATGTTCCTACTGGTGTCAACTGCTTTTTTGCGGCATGAATTGACGTGACGTAACACCCTATCTCCATTTGATAGTTGAAATCGCGGTAAAACACTTGACACAAATGTTAGCGGAATACGACTGTTCATTTTCGTCCCTCACATCAATCCCATAAACCAAGAGAATATCTCCTGCCTTTGTCTTACATAATCGGGGCTTTCTGCACTTTTTTTGTTTGACAGTTAAATTTAAACGCCAACACACACGACAAAGTTCATTCAGAGACTCTATGCCTCTCATATGTGTGACTGACCCATTGCAGTTTAACGATTTTTACTTAGGAACACAATTCACTAACTGATTGCCAGTCACCGCAAAGTGCTGGAAAAACAAAATTCACATCATTAGAAAATATGATTTGATGGCTATCACACCGCGCAAACAGAAATAAAGACCATCGTTCCATTCTCGAATGATTTGTAATTAAATTTGAAGAGATCACATTATTAACGGCGCTTCCGATCACTTAACACTCACAATTTAAAACTTTTATTATTCCCAAACGAATCAATGAAAACTGTTGAAACTTTCACAAGATATCAAGAAGACGTAGACGAAGCGGAATTGGTGAAGAAATAGATTCTAGGGGTAGAGTGAGCATCATTTTACGGCTCATGAAATTAGGGGAAGAAACGCGTTCTGATAAGGACAAGATAGGACAGCACTGTGCACGAGTTGACCCCGGTCAATCCCCGACTTGACGCGTGAAATTGCAGGTCACCTGCCGCTAATTTATGGCCTACCGGGGGGGGGCCCGGACTAACTAAAAGATCGCTGAGACGGAATTTCGGACGCCGTGTTGTTTGGGTAAAGAGAGCACACATGACATAAAAAATGTTTGCTCTTAGGACAGTGTAATTTCTAGTACGTTAGTCTTGTACGGCTGCATGACGACACCCCAAACGTCATCACTAAGCACAAAAGCTTAATCTATAACCACAGAAATGACCCATCTCTCGAAGTCTGTTCACACATCACACTATTGTTCCAGGAATCCAATGTAAACACTGCAATGTCACGAAAATATTCAACAGGGTAGCCTAAAAACACGCAAAGCAGTCCAGTACGTCACATTCAACGTAAGATTCTTGTGCGTGACCGGACGCTGATGGCAATGACTACTTTCGTTTTTCTCTTTCCGCTGTTGCTTCCGCTGTCCTGGGGAAGCGGGTAAGGGAAGTCACTCGAGAAAACAATTATATCCGGGCACTGTTGATTGAAAAAGCGGGGACATCATGGAAACAGATAGAAAAGGATGCTCAGGACAGGCTTCGCTGGAGTAATGCTGTTGATGGCCTGTGCTCCACTGGGAGTTAAAAAGGGCAAGAGAGACTGTTGATGATCCGTTCAAAACAAAAGTGGGTTAAGATTCGGACTTCCGCTACATCGCAAAGTGACGATGATCACGGCGAATGTTAAACAGCCGACCGAAATCGTAGATGTAGGAACCCGATGTTCCTTTCGCGCATCACATCTTTTGAAGTATTTAATAAACGACGAAAAGCAAAAAGATATAACCAGCTATGGTGATTCTACTGAAAAATAATGGGTTTTCTGAAACACCTAGTCCAAGACGACACGACAAACGCACAAGTGATCCGAATTATTCGTTTTTTGCAAACAAATAAACAGATTTTTTGAGCAAGTGAATCTTTCTGGATGACAAATAGCATAGTAAAAAAAAAACCCACTCAAAAATACTAAATTTTGGACCTTCTTGGAAGTTATCATTGGTGTGCTCAAAATGACAGTCCAGGAATCACTAAAAAAAACGAACATTTTTGGCAGAAAATTTACAAACTCAAGATTGTAAAGCTGACACGGGGTCTGAAACTGCTAATGGAGGTTCTACATTCTATATTTGACATGTGTATAAGTTTTGGAGGAATAAATAGTAATGCATCACATTTTATGCACACTAATATAAGATGTATATGTTTTTCCCCACGTTTTGGCAATGGCTCTTATACGAAAAGACAAATCAGCTAACTTTTTTGTACCCTAACAAACATCTAAAAACGACTTGATAAATTTCTCTTATTTCTCAACAATCAAATAAACATGGACATCTCTTTATCGACATCTGTGGTGTAGCAGTTGAATGCTTCGCTGTAGCGCATAGGAGGCCTGAGTTTGATCCTCGTGGGGAGAAATTTTTATCAAGTACCTCGTTCTTTGTTCTGTGATATTGCATCCCTCTCAGCCCCAGTTAGCCCAAACACAAGCCGGCCTTTTAAATTATCTTAAATGTGTTGACCTTATTTTGTTGCAAGTGCCTTAAAATTCTTGCCAAAATTTTTTTTTCATTTGCGTTAAAACACCTGCATTAAAAAAAAAATCAAAATATCTCTTTACTCAAATTGAATGTTTGGGGTTGCAGTGGGTTCCGGAGATCACACATCACTGTCAGCGCACGCCGTTCCTGCTGGTGGGGACACAGATTGATCTGCGCGACGACACGCCCACGGTGGAGAAGCTGGCCAAGAACAAACAGAAGCCCATCACCGCCGACCACGGGGAGCGTCTGGCCCGCGAGCTCAGGGCGGTCAAGTACGTCGAGTGCTCCGCCCTCAACCAGGTCAGTTTTTGTCTTGTCTGTTTTCCTCGTCCTCGTCCTCCTACTCCTCCTACTCTTCTCTCCTCCTCCTTCTTCTTCCCCCTCCTCCTCCTCTGATGTCAATCTGGTCGGTTTTTGTCTTGTCTTTTTTCTTTCTTCTCCTCTTTCCTCTCCTCCTCCACTCTCAACCAGGTTAGTTTTAGTTACTCTGTCTTCTTCCTCCTCCTCTGTGGTCAATCAGGTCAGGTTTTCTGTCTGTCCGTCTTCTTCCTCCTTCACCTCCTGTCTGTCAACCAGGTAAGTTTTGTCTGTCTGCATGTCTTATCTTCTTCTGCTGTCAACCAGGTCAGTTTTTGTCTGTCTTCATCTTTTCCTCCTTCTTCTATTTGTTTTCTTTTTTTTCCTGTTCCTCTTTTTCTTCTACCTGAAAATTCTCCTTTTCCATCTCTTCTTCAAATGCCAGACCTAAACTAGGCATATGGGTGGTTGGCGGGTGCTCTGGTGTTGTTTGCTCCTTCTTTCGTATCAAACATCTTTCATCCTGATCTCTCCTCCAATTTTATGTTTGTTACACTCTTGTAACACCTCTGATCTTCTGCGCTTATATAACCTTATTGTGTTACAAGTGTCGTAAAACTGTTACTAAAGCTTAAAAAACTAGGCACTGATAATCATGGTATGCCGCTCATTTTGATGCTCAGAAGCTCTTAAAAAAAAAACAACCCACCTGTAATATCCTGGTGATTTCTTCATCCGCCATATGTTCAAGTTTTGTAAGCTTGTCATTCCTAGTCTACCACTGCCTCTTTTGCCTTCCTTTTCGAAATTTTTGTGTCTTAAGCACTGCATTACTCTTTCTAATTGTTTTTTTTTACTAATGATCTTTCTATCCTTTTTTTTTTTTCAGCACTGTTTTGATTTCTATCCCTTCTGTGAAATATCTCAACTCAGGAATGATGGATGTTTGTTGCTCTCTTCACTCAAACTTTGTTTTGTTTTGTTTTTGTCCTTCCAGAGAGGTCTGAAGAACGTGTTTGATGAGGCTATCCTGGCAGCGCTAGAACCCCCAGAGCCACCCAAGAAAAAGAAATGTGTGCTCTTGTAAACTCGGCTCATTGTTAGAGAAGTCTTCTACAGCTAATCAGTGCACTTTTAAGATAAGCTATTTTTACCATTATTCAATGTTCTGTCAACATCTAAGACCAAGAAACGGTTTGGAACAAACATGTAAACACGTACAGATGTCGTGTGCGTATATGTGTGTGAGTGAGTTGGTGCGAAATGAAGAAGAGAACCTGTGTGTGTGTGTGTGTCCTTTGGTTTGTATGTGTGCCTGTGAGTCTGCGATGGTTTTTGCTTGTGAGTGTGTCTGCTGCAGGTGTTGGTGATAAAAATGAGTTTGAGTTGAGTGTCGACGTCTTCGAGTTTTCTTCACTTCCTTTGGGGCTGATATTTTACTTTTGCGCTGCTTTGACTGTGAGAACTGGAAGCTAAGAGAAGGTTTTTTTTCTTCTTCTGCAATATTGAAGGAAAACTTTGTGAGCCTTCTTTTTGTACCTTCCCTGTCATTATCGTGAAGTAACTCAAAACAATCAACTGTATGCTCGTAGATGTGCTTTTTCAGATCGAAGCAACTTTTATTGTGGAAGGAAGGAAGCAAAAGGAGAAAAGCAAATGAATTTGAAATTGTCCTTTACGGGGGGGGGGGGGGGGGGGGTCAATTTAAATTTGCTTTTCATTAGTATTCTGAAATTTCCAGCACTTTTAGGCAAAAGTCCGCTGTGCTTTGGGCCACCAGGAGCACTCACCATGGAGTTTGCTAGTGCTGATTGAATATTTATTTTGATGTGAAGAGATGGGGGGCTGGTGTAATGGCTTCCCCTTCCTGCTGTGTTTCTGTCGGCTTTTGTTCCCCAGTCACACACCTGACAGCCTCTCTATGTGCAGGCACTCCTCTTACCACAGCCCGGGTGTGTGTGTATGTATGTGTGTGTATGTTGCTTTCAAGCACAGACCAGACAAGGAGAGCGTATTATTAGAGTGTTGTGTTGGATGTAGAAAGCGAGCTGCTGTCATTTGTGTTGTTTTATATATCTCTGAAAATGGGATGCTCATCAATGTCCCGTTTTGTCTCAGAAAATCGCGACCAGGGAGTTTTGTGATTGTTCACTTGGTACTCTTTCGGATATTTATTTACCTTTTTAAAAAATTTTTTTTTGTTTCAATGATTTTTTTCTGTGAAAGCTCAACAAAATTGTTCATAGGAAAGGAAGGGCTATCACTACTACCCACTGGAATAAAAACTACTACTACTTCTACTGCAAGTTTCTTTTAGAGCACTGTCCTCTGGAATTTAAAAAACAACAGCAAAACTTCTACTGTTTCTTCTGCTTGTTCCTTCTAGTTTAGCGCTCTGTTCCAGGAAAACTTGCGCTGACTCCGAGGTGTGCCTGGTAGTAGACATTGATTCATGCTCATAGTTTTTTTTTCCCCCCAAACATAATATTCATTGATCATTCTTTAGTCTTATTTGGTTTGTTTGTTTAGCGTCATTTGTTTCCATGTTCTAGTCCTTTTGAAATAGCTGTGGTTTCAAGGGAGAGAATAGCTTGTGTACCTTGTTTCGTAGATATATCAAAAACAGTGACAGAACTTTCAGTGAAGTGGCGATAAACAGCCTTATTTTCCAAGTGATATGGGGATGGGGGAGGTGTGGGACGGGTAGTAGGAAAGGTTAAAAAAAAAACCCATCCTGATTGCCCCAGCCCTCCTCCCCCCACCCCTCCCAGAAAAAAAACATTAGGAGCCAGGGGCAACTGATTTTTTGTTTGACCTTATTCAGTAAACATGTACATACATACACATACGCCGCATGTAATTGACCATTAATGTGTGAATATGTGTACAGTTTTATGTGTGAAGTTCCCAAAGCTCTTGAAGATAAGGAGAAAAACAATGGATTGAGAAAAATGTGAAATAATAACATTTTAAAAGTGTATATTTATTGAATGTTTATCACTTTGTGATTTGCATTTTTAGCTTTTTCAGCTGTCTTTTTTTTTTTCTCTTCCTGTTTTGTGTTTTTAATTTTCATTTGGATAATATTTCCTATCATAGTTCAGTTTTTTCTGAGGGATGTTACACAAATTGTTTTTATTTAATTATGTGATAGGCTTGCTTTTTGGGGTGGAAATGGGGGGTGCTGCTTTGAAGAAACCATTGGCATTAGATATATTGATATAGATGCTGAGATGTGGAAATGTCGGTGTGCATCAATGATATATTTGTGCTTTATACAGTGCGCTATCTCATTTCTAAATATAATATGTGCAGCTGACTGGGGATAGTGGTTGGGGGGGAGGGGGTGTCAACACTGTTGTTGGTTTTTTAAAGGGTCTTTTGTTATTCTGTTTTTGCTTTATAAGACATTTGTGGTCTGGCTTTGGGGTTGTTTTGTTTTTTCTTGGGGTGTTGTTTGTTTGTTGGAGGGAGAGGGGGGGGGGTTGTGTTGTTGGTTGGTCTGCAGAAAGTTTTTTTTGTTTCTTTCAATCTGTGTATAGTAGATGATCACTTGTACTTATTCCTCGTGTGTTACACATTCACTTTAGCATTACCTGTACCATACTGCCACCTGTAACATTTGTATTCTATAATCTCCCTCTCTCTCTCTGCTTTGGCTTCATCTCTTTTGTTTTCAAAACTCGTATGTGTGAGGATGAACAGTTTCCCCATTCTCATGAATTAGGGGTGTGTTTTGTTTTTTCAAAAGATTTTGTTTGTTTTTTTGTTGGCAGAAAGTACTTTTGTTGTTTTGTTGGCAGAAAGTACTTTTGTTGTTTTGTTGTGTGAGTATATCCCTGTCTTTGATAGTTTTGCATGGTAGCAGCCATATGCCCATTGACTATTTTACCTACTATTATTATTATATTATTGTGATTCAGAACCCAAGCTAAAGATCATGTTATAGTTGAGAAGTTGTGTGCTGGAGTAGGTAACGGGTGAGTGAAGGGGGAAAGGCCATGATGGTGTATCTATGGTTTTTGAGAGCATCAAAGCCGAGATTAGCAAACCATGGTCGCTGATGTCTTATCAGAGTTATTACTTGGTGATGGTGATGATGATGATGTAAACCCAATGAAGTTGAGTGTGGTCTACCTTTTCCCTCACAGCACAGGCCACTAGCGTCAGTGAGGGGCAGTGTAAATCTGGCAGTTTGCCCAAAGATGGTACATAACAAGATGGTGCACTCAGCCAAAAAAAGTGTCCGCCGGAAGTCCGCTCTTTGCTTCAGATGGCACTGCGATCTGTTTTGAAGCTCTCTTTCGTTTCTCCAGAAGAAGAATAGGAATAGCCCTTGCATGCGCAGATCGACTGCTGTTCATCAGCTGGTCGGGTTCGTTCAGTGCGAAGTTTTACTAAGTTTTAGATTTTTTAAATTCTCGCCTTTCATTCTGAAGTCAAATTAAACGAAGAAAACAGTCACCCCTTCTTCCTGAAGAAGTTTTCTGTCAGCGTAACCATTTTAAAAAGCTTTCTTCCGAAATTTGAATTCTTATTTATTCAAAGACTTGTTAGTTTCACTTTGATTTTTTAAACACAAGAAGGGTAACTCTGTTCGCAAAGGATGCGCATTTGTGAAGAGGGCGCCACCGAATTTTGAGGACACTTTTTTAATTGGCTATCAGAGAGGAGTGGACCCTCTTGTTATGTAGACTCTTTGGTTTGCCTAGGGGAGCTCGGGTGAATGGGTTCTGTGTAAGGCTCACGAGAACAGGGGCTCAAAGTGGTTCAAGATAGGGGAGTATCTATATATTCCAAGAGAAAGAACCGGTCTAATGGTTTGCTTTTACTTCCCTTTTTATTTATTGTGAATTTCCCCCCATCAGTACTTCTTTGATAGATCTGTTAATTCTCTTGTGTCCAAGGCTGAAAACAAACGCTTTCACGTGTTTCGTTTTGACAAATAAATTATAAGTTCTCTTCCTACTTGAAAGCAATGATTATTTTTGGGGGGGGGGTTTTTTGCGTCTTGTGTTTATAAGTGAATTCTTTCATCATCTGAGTGTCTATGAATTTTTATGATTTGAATATTTGAATGCATTAAACTTCAATATGTATTGGAAATTGTCTTGCTGTGTTTTCAGCGGTTAGTGCCAGACACTACTGCGTTGATTAAGAGAGACGGAAGTTCGTCCTGTGGAATCTGTTCAGTGGGTCCTGTAAACGTACTTTATCTACGATTCGGCGACATTTTTTCACTGATAGATTTCTTGTTTTGATCAATGGTTTAAGGGATACTTTTCTCCTTTTGTCCCCATGTGATTATCATCTTTATTTTATTTCTGCTTAGTCTTTGAGTGCAAGAGTCGCTACGTTCCTTGAGTTTCTGGTTTCTGCTCCAGTTCTTTTCTATGCAAGAGATGATGAGAAGTGAGATAAAGTAGAAGGCACTCACTTGATCGACTTTCTCGGCAATTTTTGAATGTATTGGTATTTTTCTTCTTTGATGCCTGCTTCACTTTGTCTTTTTTTTCTCCCAAGTAGTGGCTGTTTCAACCACACATTTTGGCCAGTAGATTGAATGGACACACTCATGGAATGGTTTGGTTGTTTTTGTCCACGGGGACATATGTGACTTGTTCACTGTATAAGAAAAGTGCTTACAACAACATGATCTGGTAGTGTGGATAGTGCAGTGCTGTGAAACACCTGCAGTCGGGGGGGGGGGGGGGGGGGGGAGTTGATAGGTGCGTCATTGACTTACTCCTCCTTCAACCTACTGAGATAGCAGCATACTATACAGTGTGTCTATATGATCCTGAACATGCAGTGTGTCCGTGTGATCCTAATAATTGACAGTCCTGTCAGTAGAGTCTGCTTCTTTTGGTTTTTGCATGTCTTTTTGCACTCTCTCTTTCCTCATAAAAATCAAGAATTCTGTAAGTTTGGTGGTTCTGCTTTCCCTCGGTTTTTGTGGGTTTTTTGCTTTCTTTTTCTGTCTGTCTGCCTTGCTTTATTTCAACACTAAATAACCATTATATTTTAACGCTTTAGGCCTACTTCTTTTTCCCTTTTTCCTCCACACAAAAACAAAAATCGGGGTACTGGTGGGTCATGTATACATTGAGGTGGGCTTTGTGGGACTGCCACAGACGCAGTTTCTTCTTCCTGGGAGTCTTCTCTCTATGCTTCTCTCGTTCACGGTGTCCTCTTTTTTTGTTGAACAACATGCTTTTTTCACTTTATTAGATTTGTAACACAACTCTTCTCTCTCTCCTCCCCCCCCCCCCCCCAACTGGGCTGTACTAATAGATTTGAAGTTGCATTTTGCTGGTCAAAAGTCTGCTTTTTTCTTCCACAAGACATTTTTTCAATCTGTCCTTATTTTACACTCCAAATTTTCTCTTTATTATCTTTCTTTCGCTTTCTGCATGTCGCATTAAAAAGAAGTCAATTCATAAGCTTTTAATAGTGAGTCTGATATTGTATTATGTAACGAAATTTAAATGTGGGTGGTTGGAGGACGCCACTGGTAGGTCCTACTTCTTTAATTTTAATTTCCTCTGTTGCTTTTGTCTGTCTGAGTCTATTTTACTATTTCCCAGTACTGAATGAGACCAAAACTGTGTCAATGTGCTTCTGTTTACTCCAACTCAAAATATAACTGACTAGAATAATAAATAATATAGTAAATTACGAGCTTGATTTGAGTTGAGCTGGAGTCTGACGTCTCAAGAAAAAGATTTCTTGAGAAAGGTCCTCATGCTATAAATTATAAAGAGTAAGAAGGGAGAGACAGAGAGAAAGGAGGTGGTTGTTGCTTTTTCCCTGTGCACATAATTTTCCCAATGTTTCTTCCACTTCCTCCAGCTGATGTGTGTGAAGTGACCAACCCATAAATTGCTCCAACTTAGAGTCTAAGCTGAGATCTACAAAGAAAAAAATCGAAAAAAAGATTTAGATTGAAGTGTAATTAAAAGTGTACAGAGTACAATTTCCTTCTGTGTCCTCGAGTAGAGGTCTCCTGTGTTGTTAACTTTGTGCTTGCACTTTTTCCACCAGTCCTTTATTTCGGTACCGATTTGATTAAGGAAACGAACTGAATCGAAGAACTGAATGCTCAGATATATCATAAGCCTTTGTAATTATGAACTTGTAATAAACTTGAGTTACAACACAAATCTCTTGACTTGCTGACTGAGCCTGCTTTTTGAGCTCTGTTGCTTCTTTTACACTTGATAGATTATTGGTTGCATGTTACAGTAGAGTACCCTTAAACCAAACAACAAAGAGAAAAAAATCAGGAATTTTATTTTCTTTGTTTTTTTTGCCGTTTTCAGTTGACCATGTCCAGTGTAAATTGACTCGCCTAATGAATGAAGACTACGGGGGGGGGGGGCGATCACATTTTAAATTATATTGTATTATATAATGGGGGGTGGTCACACTTTTCTTTCTCCTGTCTGTTTTACTTTATTCCCCAGCACTAATTGACCATTATTATGTGGATGTGCCTGGCTTCTCTTTACTCGAACAAACATGCTACGTGACACTGCCGGGACGTTGAACCCAGAGGTCCTGCCTTTTGAATAATAACCTAATAGTGTTGATAGGGGCGTTACCTCCTGATCTAAAAGCTATGATATTCGCCTCTTATTCAATAGGTCCCGGGTTCTGAACCTGACAGCGACGGAAAAAATTCTTCTCTTGTTAAATCTTCTCCTTGCACCTTTCCTGCTCTCTAAGTCTTACCATGTTCTGTCGTCTGCTTTCATCTTCACTTGGCTCTGTCCCATTGGAGACTGACGTTAGATTCTGAGGTCCTTCTTTTTCAATAACCTCTCAGCATTGAAAGGAGTTCAAACCATACAATTGGTGAATCGTCAAAGGTAACAAGAAGCTCCCCTGTGAACCACAACTCGGCATTGATTTTGTCTGGGACACCAGCTCAGCGGCACTCAGCCTATGCCCTGCCGCAGATGGACCAGTGAAAATAAAATTGTCTTCTGACTTATCAAGTGCCATTGCTTTGCCTCAATGTCTACTCAGAATTTGATGCTTCAACTTCATGTACTTTAACTTTAATATGTGGAGACGTAGATTGCTTGACTGTAAATGTTTTTCACCTATCTTGACACCATCATAACAGAACTAGAATTTAGAAAGCACACTGCTCCACCCTGCCTCCCATATATCCCTGCACACGCAAGGAAAATTATGCCCTTTCTCGTCTGTAAAGTACCAGTATGATGGCTTGTGAAATGAGACACAATGGCGAAGATCGCCTCATTTTCATGCTTGCAACCATGCGACAAGTGGACATTTTCCCTGTGAGGGCGGGGCCAACTTTGGTTTCGTGGAGTCGATAGTACCAGATAGATACTGGATAAAAATGAACTTAGCATTTTAAGAGGGGCCTTACCACAGCCACATATCGTACTCGCACTGGACGTCCAAAATCCATTTTTCGACTCGTGGGGGGGGGCTCTCGTGGCCTAGGGGTTAAGGTGTTGGCCTCTCATTCAAAGGTCCCGGATTCGAATCCGGGTAGCGACCGAAAATTTTCTTCTCTAAATTTGTCTCCTTTCACCTCATTTCCTGCTCTCCTGTTCTGTCGCCTGCTTTCGTCTCCCCTTTCTGCCCCCACCGCCTCACCTCATTTGCCCCTTCCTCTGGGCTCCTGATTCTTTCTGAAGCCTTTCTACTGCTACTCCTTCTTACTGCTGTCTTTCAGCCACACCCGTGATCTTCTGGTTGGAAAGATCTACACCTAGCCTTCTCGGACAAGGGCGAAAAATCTCGGAGGGCCCGTGTGCAAGTTGCGCTCATTAAAGATCCCTTGGTGGTCTCAAATCGATAAGAGTAGGCTTCGGTCGCCACCCGGGCAAAATTCCAAATTTCCTACCAACTGAAAATATTAGGTGTGTCCCGCGCGCTCATATGACCTTATGCAGTTGCGAGCGCCATAAAACACTTTACAAAAACAAAACAAAAAACGACTCGTGGCCTTGAAAAATAAATGTGTTTTCAAAGGTACCGGTCGAATTGTCACAGGGTTTCCTCCTCCCACCTCCCCCAGGAAGGAAAATTGGCAGTGTGCACTGGGTGTAACCTTTACCACATAGATGCCAGTCTGCTGTGACGGCATCTCAATTCAATGTCCAATAATCATTTGAAAATGTAAACAAGATCATTACTTTGAGAGTTTTTTGTTTGTTTGGTAGTATATGTAGGTGTTTTACGGCGCTCGCTACAACGTAAGGTCATTGAGTGTGCGGGAAACCTTAAAATTAAAACATTTTCGGTTTGGTAGGAGTTTATTTTGAATCGAATTCGGGACTTATTGAACGAGAGACGAACACCATAACAACGAGAGCCCTTTGACCTCTGCTCATATTCGAAACCCTCATTGCCTTTTGTTGGCAAGGTCTGCGACCCCCCCCCCCCCCCCAATATTTCTTATCTATATATATATTATCTAGGCTCTCTAACGCAAAGACAACCCTGGTCTCAATCCGATCCCCCAGCATTTGGCAAGCTGCAAGTCGCCCTTTAAAAAAGAAGTGACTTTTTGTCACCTCATGAAAAATCAACAGCTGCATTTGTGTCTTGAGTTCAAGTTCAAGTGTTGGAACAATGTTTTTCTTTCGTCTTCCCCAATTTCGAACTTAGATCTACAGGTAAAGAGTTTCTAATTGTTCCGGTCATGCACAAGTTCAATATAATTAATATAAATATAAACGGGTATTATTAATATCGAACTCCAAGCCTTCTTTACACAAGGTAGGCCTACTAAGCAATTCACCATTGTGCCTTGTATGATTCAATTTTAATAGAACTGTTAAAGTTTTAAAGAAAAAGAAACAACCTAAGCAAGAGTTGTTTGGAGAAGGCTACATCTAACCTTTACATAAAGCCGCCACAGAAGTTTCAACTTTATACTTTATATAATTATAGATCAGCATATTATATGGATGGGACACACCTTAAGAAAGCCCAGCGGAAACATCACAAGACAGTCACTGCAGTGGAACCCACAGGGAAACATGGAGGAGATGCGTGGAAAGGGACATGAGAGAAATGAAGCTCACTTGGAACGAGCTTGGAAGGATGGCTCAGGACAGATAAATGGAAGGAGCTTGTATGTGGCCTATACCCTGCCAGGGGTGAAAGGCATTGATGATGATGATGATATTATAGTATACCCGCTGATATTAATATTGGTCCAGTATCTGTCAGCTTCTAGTTTTAGTAAGGTTTCACGGTGCTCGCAACTGCATAAAGTTGGTCAGCTTCTCCACTTAATCTAAGCAACAGTAACAGACCACAAATAAAACTGCAACTTTCATGGCTCCTTACACTTAAAGGCAGTTGCAACAGCCCACTTCATAACCAATCTAAATTGCGTTGAAGGGGGCATGGGCATAGGCATAAAAACAGAGATACTTGATGAAAATAAACTTTGCATATCATGTTGGGGGCATAAAAACACCATTCAGTTTTTTTTTAAAACACCCATGGCTTGTGACGGAGGGTGATAAACCCATGCTAAAAAAAACTAAAAATACTAAAGATCAGACCCCTGTATCTATAAATCATAAAACATCACATCAAACAAACAGCAATCAACCAAAACCAAAGACAGTGCTGGTCTTTTTAAAGCTTTTATTTATATATGTACTTTTTTTTCATAGATCTCACCCACGACACGGAATCAGCATTGTTGTTGTTGTTGAAATCACAGTGGGCAGAAATAGCATTTCTCACAGACTACCGACAAAGACCATTGTTATTCTAAGACGGGTTTCTAGGCTCCACGTACAACAACTTGGCATAACGACAGTCAGGAACATGGGACATTTCTCTCCACTCACACCAACGAAGACCAGGGGAGGGGAGGGGGAACTTCTACTTCATTTCTGTTGCATCCATCATCCATCCCTTTGCCGACTGAAGTTGGCCTTGAGTCGTCGCAGTATTAAAGTAAACCATTTGAAAACGGTAGCATAAGTCACCCGTCTCAGAATATATACATGGTCCTTGTCTAAGGGTTGTACACCCTGTGGCATTCACTCTCGCACAACAGACACAGTGGAACATACAGTAGCTTAAGCACCTCACCATCAAATATGTTTTTGGGGGTTGTTTTTTTTTACAATTTTTTTCTGAACTATTTACAATGTCTTGCAGGCTGCGTGAAGGGTGACGGGGAAGGGGGGGAAGGGGAGACAGAAAGGAAAAAGAAAAAAAAAACCCAACAAAATAAAACAAAATTACAGTAGGTTCTTCATAACATACTACAATAGATAAAATCTTGTGTTGTTGACGACATCTTACTCGTGTTTGCCATCAAAACATAAAAGAAAAAGAGTAAAATTGCATTAATTCTCCAGTCATCTCACTCGCACATACAGGCGTTAGAACACGCTCACTCTCACAACTCATTTCTCTACCCAAGGCAGATTCCCAAAAAAATGGAGGGGGAGGGGGGAGGGGGAACAATTCTAAACCCTTCACCTCACAAACCAGGAACAGTAGTGACGATACATCATTATTATTCTTTATTAAAAAATGGCCAATAGCCATTCCAGTCTGAAAGACAATAAACTTTGTACAGGCTGCGCCGCGAAAAAAAACAACAACACTACCCCCAGGGGAAAAAAAAACAACCCAACAAACTGATGAAGATGATGATTATCTAACATGAGATAGGAATGAGTGGATGAAGAAAAAGAAGCAGATGTCTCCTCCTCGTCCACACAAAAGCGATATAAATCTCTTGTTCCAACCCAAGCCCGGACTGCACACAGTGACAAGGCAGGGCTGATCCAGGGTTGGGTAGGAGCAAGTGTCGATAGCCTCGCCCTAGTTGCTGTCGTCTTCAGCACAGAGAACATTGTCCAAACCCCCCACCCCCCACCCAAAAAAAAAATTCCACCGCACGGGTGCATGCACTCACACAACTCATCAAAAAAACAAAACAACGTAAGGTAGTACACAATACAAATATAAAATCTTTTCTCTTCTTATCTCTCAATAATTAATGGTATCATCATTAGAACTACTTGTTTTCATCATCATCACTCATAAAAGGCATTATTAATGTTTGTGACTTGATGCATTGTCCAGGTTTTCAACAAACTCACAGTAAGATCCAGTTGGCAGTCAATAATAGTATACCTGAAGACAAAGAGGGGGGCAACAAAATAACCCAATACGTGTGAAAGCAGCCAAACCCAAACAGTGACAATCAACAAGACCAGCCCTACGACTGTCTAGCGAATCACTTGGATTTGGACTCTATACACTGATGCGAGGCAATTGGGAGGGGGGGGGTTAACAGCGCCAGCGATTGGGGGCAAATCATCAGCCTGCCACACACACACACACATCCAGTCATTCTGGACAGCTCGAGTACAACAGTGGAGAGAGAGACAGAAAGAGTGACAGACAGAAAGAAATGGGCAGACAGACAGAAAGAAGAGAGATCCAGTCTCACAAATTTGCATAATGGTAACAATGAAATACTGCTCCGCAGTACGCACAACACTAATGAAATGCAACCGCAACTATTGTTGTCAATTCAAAATTAAAATTAAGCAGTAACACCATCCAAGATTTGGAGGGGCTAGGGGTACAAGACTGGCCTTATTGTTTTACAAGAACAACCTTTTAAAGAATTGAGCACTGCGACACACGAGACAGGGACTATCAAAGGTGGAGAACTGAGACTAGCACATGAATTTAGTGTCTGACCAAATCATTGAAGAAAAAACAAACGACCTTCAAGTTCCCCAGCATCATTCCACAAGTGTGCAAGTCATTTTTTAAATAAGATTTGAGAACACAGAAATTCAGAAACCCCCCCGACTTGCGCACTCTATATTTTTTCAATACACTACACATATACGTAATCCCAGACTTGCCGACAAAGGCCAAGTCTGTAACTGGCCGAGAGCCCCAGAAACAACCATACCCCCATACCGGAACACCACTAGCCTACCCCTGGCCCACATTTTAAAAAAAGAGTCAAAAGAAGACTTTCTTCAGATGTACATCGTCCTACTATTACTAAAAATCAAAGCGGGTCATCGCTTCGCGGATGGAACTTAAGTTTCTACAAAATCTGAGAAAACAATGAGAATAAGCGAGTGAAGCTCAAGAACCCTGTGCATGGACATGAGACAGACCCTGTGGTGAGAGAGAAACCATTAGACACAAGAAGCAACACAAAGAAAGAAAGAAATCAGTGGACAGAAAAAATACAATGCGGAAGGCAGGCAGCAATAATGTTGCATGTGACTTTTCTGTGTGATACAAAGTGTCTCATTACTTCTGAACAATAACTTACTATGGGGGAAAATACACAGGGTGCGAGCGTAAAACAAGGCAGGGAACTAATTAAGTATTTACAATAAAGTAAAGAAAGCAATTAAATAGCAATCTATTTAAGTGAGGGTGAAAAGCAGAAAACACCTCAAAATGCCCGGGTAAGAAAAGTAAATCAGTGGTAGAAGCAGTACTAAATGCAATCTGCAGAGATCATTTTTTTACTACTGGACTGTCCGCTAGGTGAACGGCCGGGGGGTCGTGAATGGTGTGTGCTTATTATGTGTGTGTCTGTGTCGCATGCGTCTTGTGGAAGGGGAGGAGGGGAGCTGCATTGAGCTCAACATATCTCACCAATCATTTCCAAACTAAACAGAGACCACCCCATCATTCCCTCCTGGTATTATTTCTGATCTCAGAAAGTATACCAACAATTCCTACCTATGTTCATATTCCTGAATTTGCGAATGTACAATTAAAAAAAACCCACAACAACAGCCGTACATAAAATAAGCTGAACATACAAAAACAAAAACTATTTTTTTTAAACCCAACCGAAATCAAAGGGCACAAATTCAAATTACGATTCCAGAAAAACAGAAATCTGTTTCAAACACTTATCTCCTACGGCACTCCACAAACAACTCCCCTTTTAGAAGCTAAGACAAAAATCCCTGATACTATTACTAGTAAATAATCATTTTACAATCACTGGTCTCAGTACAGTATAAGTTTAGAATTTTGTTAAAAAATCAATGATACTTAACAACAATTGAAAAAAACAACAAAAACCAATGTCTTGTGTTCAGCACATTATATGTACTGTTGTTATGCTAGTAACCTTGCTCCAACAACTTATTGACTGGAAAACTATCTCTTGTCCATTTCTAAAAACATTGACAAGATATAAATCTACAACATTTTCTTAGTTGCTGTAGCAGTATTGAAGCTGAGACCATAAAACGTACATTTAACAAGTAGACACTGCTGAAGGAGAGAGTGAGGAAAGATATAAATGCAGTCAACTGTATCTACTTTCCATGCCACTCCTATTACAGAATCCATATACACCACAACACTACCTGGATTGGCCTGGTTTTCATTGTTTCATAATTCAATCAAGGCACCAACAGATATACCGTAAAACTTGGAATACTATCATGACTGGAGTTGGCAGCTTGCAAAATATGAGAACTTGTGTGAGTTTGTACTAGCCCACAAAGGAGCCAATGCACTTAACAAAGACAAGCTGGTGTCGTTATAACCTGCAAGCAATGGGTGATTATCAAACTGTCGGAGATCTCGATAGCTAAGAAGACAGCAGTTGTCATCGCTGATGTTCTTGCTTGCAATGGCGGTGGTGGTGCTGGTAGCTCGTTTACTTTCTGATTGGTCCCCACGAGCGTCCCTTGGGGGCCACCACCGTGCCAAAGCTGGGGAACTCCTCCTGGCTCTCCGTGTCCGGGGCGCGGTCCCAAGGTGCGTCCTTGACGATGAAGCCTTGCGTGGGTCCACGGGGATGGGAGGGCTCCGAGGTACCTTTGCTGGGCGGGCGCTGGAGCTCACGCAGGTATTCCTGGTCCACAAAGTCTTGGAGCTGTGGAAATAACAGGAATGTAACATATAGGTGGGGAGGAGGGGGTTGTTTTAGTACGAATTTTACGGCACTTGCAATCATGATAAGGTTATATAAGTCATATGAATGCTGAAGAGTAGGTGTTACAAAAGAGAAACAAACAAAAAGGAATGATCAGGACAACTGTTTCACTGGACAGAATGAGCAAACCACACCCGGGGTGGGGGAGGTGGTGTTTAAGTAAATAGAGGCACCTTGACACATTAACAGGCCATTTAGTGCATGGAAAGGGGAAGAGGCAGACCGCAGTAAGCGTTTTACGACACTTGCAACACAATAAGGTCATATAAGTGCCGAAGATTAAAAGAGTTACAAGAAAGTAATAAAAAACAAAATAGAAGGAGGGGAGATAAAGACCATAGATGTTTGATAGGAAAGAAGGAGCAAACCACACCAGAGCACCTGCCAACCACCCACCAGCAAGGGGGCAGGAGAACCTCCAGTTAGTGAAGGAAAAGAGAAAAAACACAAGAAAGATAGGTAATCAACAGACAGAAAGAAAAAATGACATACCTACAGTGGTGAAAAAGGAAGAACGACGAACAAGATTTTAAAATTTTTTTTTAGTAGAAGGTTTTATGGCGCTCGCAACTGCATAAGGTCATATGAGCGCCAAGGGATGGATGTCAACAGAAAAGTCTTTACAGGGAATCAGACTTATTCTGCTCACCTCTCTAGCTTCAACAGCACAAGGTCTGCTTCGACTATCAAGGCACCCCAAAATAGCAGGTCATAAGAGAGTGACAAACATACAAAAGAAGTAGAGGGAAAATGACAATAGTGAGGATTAGGAAAGAAAAAGCAGCAGTTCCCTGTTGTTAGATCAGGCACAGTTATGAGCCCATTTACAATTCTACCGTGCTTGAACGAGAAATGTCTCCCCTTTGGGAATGGCCTAAAGACACTTCAGTCAGTGGCACAAACAAGACAGTTAGGCAAAAAACAGAAGGAGAGAAAAGAAGTGAGAGACCACCCAAGAAGAAACCGGAAGAAAGACTGACAAGAACAATCAAGGAATGGTAAAGAGACAATGCTTACAGCAAAAATTACAAGAGCAAGTACATTTATATGTCCATAGCATTTATATTTGTAAGCAAACTTGGCTAATATTAAGTAATGTATGTATGTAAAGTATAAGGTTTTACGGCGCTCGCAACTGCTAAGGTCATATGAGCGCGCGAAACACAAGTTGTTCACCTCTGCGAAAGTTCACTTCACGACTGGCTAACTAATTTACTTTAAAATGCTAAAAAGTTAAAATATATATTCAAATTCGGTGTAAATACATTTGTGATGAAAAACAACTTTTAAGTAACAATAAATTTTTTAAATAATATCAAATTCACTCTACAACTCGCCATAAAGGCCAAAGGCCTTTATAAATGGCTTTTATAAAATTTAAAATTCTGCTGGGAACAACGACGGAAAAAATATCCTGCAATTTCTTGCATTTATAATATTTCCTTCGGATCTCTAATATTAAGTAAGAGACATAGTTCCTGACTTGAATCGACATAAAGGATCACATCTTGCTCCTATGGGAAAAACAGAGACGGTAAAGGGACAGGGAAAGACCCAGAAAAACACTTGGAGAACTTGAACAGACTGGTGACAGGACAAACCCATGATCACCATTAAGTGTTTCAGAAGAAGAAAAAAAGGAGAAGAAAAGTAAGGAGGCAGAACAAGAACAAAAGCAAGAAGAAGAGGAGAGAGCAGAACAAGCAGAAGAAGAAAACAGATTGACAGCACTTGTGACACCAAAAGGTCGAATAAACGCCAGAGATTAGAGGTGTCACAACAAATAAAAGAAGGAGAAGAGATAAAAGGACCATAGACGTTTGATATGAAAGAAGGAACAAACCATACCAGAGCGACTACCATCCATCCACAAAGAAGATAAAGAAGACATTAACACTTTGCCATCATATTTTGGGGGAAATCCAAAGAAACTGGGGGGTAAACATCGCCTATCGGCGAGATGAGGCAGCAAAGTGTTAGCAAGACTTCACAAAAATTATCAGTATCACTACATCAACGTCTAAACACTCACATATTCCTCCTCAATATTGAGCAAATAGTCCTTGCAGTCCAGCACATTGTCCTCAGCCCCCGAGATGGTCACCAAGTTGGGGTCGGGGTCCGTGGAGCGGGGGAAGCGAAGGTCCACGCTGAAATCCTCCATGAGGCGGTTGATGCCGCGACCCTTGGCCCCGATGATGCGGGGGTGGACACGGCTGTCGATCTTCACCTCTTCTGTGTACATGTCCTCCTGTATAGAGGAACAACATCGTCATCAGAGGAACAGCGACAACAACATCATTCTCCACATAAGAAGAACATTACAATCTCCATCCATCAACAGAGTCCATTATCAAACAATATTCCTGTTAAGCCCGATTAGTGTAGGGACAAACAATCAAGCGACCAAGAATAGATGTGTTACAAGAGAGTAACATACAAAAAAAAGGAGAGATAAGGACGGTAGATGTTTGATAGGAAAGAAGGAGCAAACCACACCAGAGCACCCGCCAACCACCCACACAATACAGGAGAAAATGTGACTTACTGGAGCAGAGGAAGATAGAACTAATGCTAACATTACTTAAATGCAATCCCACATCATCACTCATCACTCCCATTATTTCTAAAATCATCATTGCTCTCTGATCATTAACTTACATCTATAATCCTTGAATTTCTATCTGTTATAGTTACATGTCATACTAAGTATGCACGTAATACACTTTCGGACACTATCATACGCACTTTTTTCTACTAATCAGATGGCATCAATCTCACATAACCGGGCAAGGGTTAGTTAAGTTTTAGTAAGAGTTTTACTGCACTTGCAAGACAATAATGTCATATAAGTGCCAAAGATTAGAGGTGTTACAAGGAAGTAACAAACACAAAAAAAAGGAGGAGAGATAAAGACTATATATGTTTGATAGGAAAGAAGGAGCAAACCACACCAGAGCACCCGCCGACCATCCACTTGGCAAGGGTAAAAAAATATTAAAACAATACAGGAGAAAAGACATAGGATCCACCACTGTGACAGTCTCATTCCAACCATCCGCCTTTTACAAAATAAAAGACTAAAGACTGATTTTTCATTATCTGCCACAAATGATGCCTAAGATCACACTCTACAAAGCAATGGTGTACAGGAAGGGAAAGACAAAGAATCTAAAAGAGAATTCAATAGAAAAGACCAAAGACAAAGTTTTCTCATTACACAAACAGGACCTCTATGAATCATAAAAGTGAAGATTTCCCAAGAAAAGAACTATAAAAAAAAGTGAGATTTGCATCCCAGAAGAATGAAGAAAATGAACTCGAATCAAATTTCCTTAGAGAAAACATTTGCCAGGCCTTAGTGACAGAAGCGCCTCATACATATTTCTCAAAGCCCTTACATAGTCTTTGACGATCTTGAGGATCTCGTCACGAGTGGCCTCGGCGTTCTCCTGGTAGCCTGTGATGGTGATCAGGTTCTGGTCCTCGCTGCCCTTCTCGGGGAACTGCACGTTCACGTCATGCTTCTTGCGGATAGCCGTGATGAGGTTGCCACGGCGACCAATGATCTTCGGGTGGTACTTTTCATCTACTTCCACCGTCAACTTGAAGCTCTTCAGTTCCTGATTGTGAAAAAAAAAAAATATATATAAAAATCAGACGCTCTAGCAAATGCTTTTCAAAATACTTTATTCCCCCTCCACCGGAAAAAAATATGTGTCAGGACGAACGTGGTGGAATCGGGCACCCGTCAATTTTTGGGCATAAGGGGTTATTGGTAGCACCTTAAAGCCAGTCCATTTGCCTTTCCTTTGGTGAAAATAATATCCATCTATGTTGAATAGAAGTAGAAATATTTGCGATTGAAGGAGGTCAGGGTCGTCTGGTTTCAGAGGCAAAATTAGAGAGGAAATGGCCACAAAAGTTTGGTAAATTCCATAGCCTGTGAGTCCTTGGAAACTGAAAATTTACATTTTTTGTACCGTTAATCAATGTTTTTAACATGCGACATGTCCCATACACCATACATGCGACACATTTACTCACAACACACATGTGACACCATACACGTGACACGTTTACCCACACACTGCACACGTGACACATTTACTAACACAACACAGATGTGACACGATTACTCACATACCACACATGTGACATGTCCCACACACCATACATATGACACGTTTACTCACACACCATACATATGACACGTTTACTCACACACCACACATGTGACACGTTTACTCAAACACACATGACACGTTTACTCAACACACATGACACATTTACTCACACACCATACACGCGACACATTTACTCACACACCATACATGCGACACATTTACTCACACACCATACATGCGTCACATTTACTCACACACCATACAAGCGGCACATTTATTCACACATCACACATGCGACACATTTACTCACACACCATACATGCCGACACATTTACTCACACATCACACATGCGACACATTTACTCACACATCACACATGCGACACATTTACTCACACATCACACATGCAACACATTTACTCACACACCATACATGCAACACATTTACTCACACACCATACATGCGACACATTTACTCACACATCACACATGCAACACATTTACTCACACACCACACATGCAACACATTTACTCACACATCAAACATGCAACATTTACTCACACACCACACATGCAACACATTTACTCACACATCACACATGCAACACATTTACTCACACATCACACATGCGACACATTTACTCACACACCATACATGTGACACATTTACTCACACATCACGCATGCCACACATTTACTCACACACCATACATGCGACACATTTACTCACACACCATACATGCGTCACATTTACTCACACACCATACAAGCGGCACATTTATTCACACATCACACATGCGACACATTTATTCACACACCATACATGCCGACACATTTACTCACACATCACACATGCGACACATTTACTCACACACCGCATATAAGTCACTTTTACTTGCCCTATTGGATAAAACAGCACCTGGACATGGATGGCAGGTGCTTCTATAAATATCTTATTGATGTTCAAGGTCAAGGTCACTCACCCTATCCTCCTTCTCCTGCTCCAGCTGGTTGACCCGCTCCAAAATGGCATCTTTCGCCCGTGACACATTGGCGGGCGGTCCGCGAACCTTGACCAGGTCACTCTGCTCCTCAGCAGGTGGTATGGAGATGTTCACGTCATAGTCCTGCATCAACTTGCGCACGTCGCGGCCACGCTGGCCGATGATGAACTTGTGGTACTCGAAGGGGACGGTCACCTCTTCCAGCACTGGGACCAGATCCTAAACAAGAGAGAAAGTTGGGTTTTAGTAAGAGTTTTAACAGCACTTTTTGCAACACAATATGGTCATATATCAGAGCTTCCAGTGGCTGATGTCATTTTTCGAGGATTTTCGGGTCCAGGGCGAAGCCCTGACTGGCAGGGGGTTGAAGGGGGACAGCGTCCCCTTTCTGTTTGAGAATTTTTGGTTTCAGAGCATCGTAAGTATGCCATTTCTGGCTATTCAGTCCTAAATTTAACTAGAAAATAATTGAGAAAAAAAACATACCTTGTATAGGCCTACATAATTTTCTGCTTGTGTTAATCCATATATTTCCAAATCCAAAGCCATGCTTTCTCCCTTGTACAGATACTGTACATCCACAACTAGATCTATAAAACTTGACAGTTAATGTTTAACTTTTTTCTGCTTGTGTTGGTTTGCACCATAATCAGCATAAGGTGTAGAATTCTTACAATAATAGCTTTTTATATAACAGCTTGACTTGATCTCTAGATTCTAGTCTAGATTCTAGATCTAAATAGCTTGACAGCTTATATTCAACTTAAATCCACAACAATACTTACAAATAAACAAGTCTGGTAAAAAAAAAATCAAGCTCTCTTTACAGTTTTCTTTTCTTGGTAGGCCCAAGATCTATTGAACCACAATCGTCATTTCTTCCTCTTGTTTACAGAGCTGGTGCTCTGCTTCTTGTGCTTTAGAAAGTGAAAGTAGAAGACACTGTCTACACTTTCAAATAAAAGAGCACTTCCGGTATGGGTTGACTATTGTTGACTATTGGTAATAACGGAAATTTTTTTTCGCATTTTTGAAAATATTTTTTTTTTTTATGTTTTTTTTTTTGGCACGAATTTTCACGCAAATTTTTCCATTTGCGGAAATCTACTAATTTGCGGAAATCCCCAAAATTGCGGAAGACTGGAAGCCCCGATATATGTGCTGAAGATTTAGTTTTACGAGAGGTTTTACTGCCCTCGAAACTGCATAAGGTCATAAGAGCGCCAGAACATTAGAGGTGTTACAAGAGAGTAACAAACATAAAAAAGAAGAAGGGGAGATAAGGACGATAGACGTTTGATAGGAAAGAAGAAGCAAACCACACTAGAGCACCCGCCAACCACACACTTGGTAAGAGTTTTAACAGCACTTGCAACACAATATGGTCATATATGTGCCGAAGATTGGAGGCGTTACAAGAGGGAAACAAAACACACAAAAAAGGAGGAGAAATAAGGGCGATAGATGTTTCACAGGGAAAAAGGAGGAGAAATAAGGACGATAGATGTTTAACAGGAAAAAAGGAGGAGAAATAAGGGCGATAGACGTTTCACAGGGAAAAAGGAGGAGAAATAAGGACGATAGATGTTTCACAGGAAAAAAAGGAGGAGAAATAAGGGCGATAGATGTTTCACAGGGAAAAAGGAGGAGAAATAAGGGCGATAGATGTTTCACAGGGAAAAAGGAGGAGAAATAAGGGCGATAGATGTTTCACAGGAAGAAAGGAGCAAACCACACCAGAGCACCCACCACCATCACCCACTGAAAAAAATAAAAAATAAAGTGGTTTCTGGTTTTTGCATTGAGTAAAGAGAAACACATCAACACAACAATGGTCATTAAAGGAAGAGAAAAGGCCAGATAGACCGACACAAACAACAGAAGGACCTAACTACTGGTGACATCCTCCAACCACCCGCTGAATCGTTAAAGACCCAATACACCGGAGAAAAACATTTATGGCACTGCAGATTATTCAAACAGAAAAGTTCATTTAGTATGAAATAAACAGAAATCTTCAGGTGAGCCCAAAATAGCAGCCGCCCCCTATATCTGTGGTATTGAGCACATATCGGTGCTGGTGCAACCAAAGATGTCAACATCACCAAAATGCAGTTAAATGCTGTGGTCAAGGCTTACAATTTTCTTGCTCTTCATGATTCCGGATAGGAACAACACAATAAAAACTAGTTTTTTGTCTCTGGTGTAAAGAGTACCCTAACAGACTCAAGTACAATGCTTGATTCACCAACCGTACGATTCATCTCCCAGGAAGCCTATTTTACAAGAGAACCTTTGTAATTGAACTATCATACACTTCAGCTCAAATTTTCTGTTGATTTTTCACGCACCTCTATAAGTTTTAATTACACCAATTATTGAGATGATGTATTTGACCCTGCCTGCTCTACAACATAATAAAAAATCAGGTTCTGGAAAAAGCATAGGACCCAAGTAGGTGACTGACAACCAGACATACCAGCAGAGCTTGCTTGGCATTCTCGCAGTTCTCCGGCTTGCCCGTGATGATGATGGTGTCACACTTGCGTGACCCCTCGGTGCCCTCCTCTCCGTTAGCTTCTCCATTGACAAGGGGCTCCTCTGCTGGGGCTGATGACGATCAAGAGAAGACAGTCGTGAGAAGATAGCCAAAATACAAGAAGGCAGTCAAGACAAGAGCGCCGTTGTGAGAAGACAGTCCGGACACAACAAGATAGTAAAGACACAGGAAAAACAGTTGTGAGAAGTCGGTGAAGAAAAACTAAGACAGATAGTCACAACGGCAAGAATGCTTTGGTCATCTATTAAGTGCCACACACAAACACAAAACTATCCTATCGACATCTTTCCAAATATATATTTTTTTTAAAACAGAGACAGCGCTACTACTACCACCACCACCAGCACACTTACTGCCGTTCTGCACGGGCTTGTCAGGGAACTTGATGCCCACATCGTACTGCTTGGTGATCTCCCTCACATTGGCCCCTCCGCTGCCCATGACTGTGCGGTGGTCAGCCTGCAGGATGACGCACTCCACCGTCACTTGAGCCTCCTGGGGATGAGAAGACAGATATGTTAAAACACTTTTGTTCAGGAACAGACAATTTTTTTTCTCTTTAAGTAAGTATAGTTTCAGTAAGTGTTTTACTGCACTTGAAAAACAGTAAGGTCATATAAGTGACGAAGATTAGAGGTGTTACAAGAGAGCAACAAACACAAAAAAGAGGGAGGAGAGATAAGGACGATAGATGTTTGGTAGGAAAGAAGAAGCAAACCACACCAGAGCATCCGCCAACCACCCAGTCTTTAAGTATAAAGCATGTCAACACAATAATGGTCATTTAGTGCTTGGAAAAGTAAGACAGACAGACAGACAGACAGAAACAACAGAGGGAAAGTAAAGAAGTAGGACCTACAAGAGGTGCTCTCAAACCACCTGCAGAAACAGGCAAATAAAGCTACCAATCGTTATTGTAAATGCTGGTCACAGGTTTGTGATCCCTATATAAACAACGGGGTATCCTTTTGAGAGCTGAACAATGGAAAAAAAAAAATACTTAAAAAACCCCAAATACAGAAAGATATATGTTAAGAAAAGTATATAAACTCAACAGAACTAAATATTCACCTCAAAATGGTCATGGTCATTACAGTAGTCTTTTTTTTTTTTTGCGGGGGGGTGTTACATTTTGAGGGGGGGAAAAAAAGTTTTTACCTAAGTCAGTCTCACTACTTTAACAAAAGCGCAAACGTCTCAACAATTAAAAACTCAGTAGACAAAAAACAAAGTAAAAACCAAGCTATATTGATCATAGGGAACAAGTAATAGGCATATAGGCATTTTTTTCACCATTCACATTATGAGAAATCTTTGTTTAAAAAAAAACTCCAAAAAACACCAAAACAAAAACCAAATAACGCAAAAAAAAACAAAACCCCAGCCTAACTGACAAAACGATGGAAAAAGACGCAAAAAAAAAAATGAGCACAAAATTCCCGCTAGCACCCACCAGATCATCCACGATCTCCAGAATCTTCTTCTTGGCGGCCTCCACACAATCCTTAGCGCCCTTGATGACCACGCGGTCGCTGTTCACGCCGCTGCGGGGGAAGCTGACGATCACACCGCCGAAATCGTCCGCAATCTGTCGCAGCACCTCGCCACGCCGGGCCACAAAGTGGCGGTGGTGCTTGGGATCAACAGTGATCTCACCTTCCACGATGTTGTCCTGCACAGGATGAGTATATCATCAGTTTGAGTACAAAGAGCCACATCGACCCAATAGTAATAGTCATGTGAGTTTTGTTTCATCTTAGTTTTAGTAAAGGTTTTTTGTTTTAGTAGAGGTTTTACGACTTCGCAACAGCATAAGGTCATATGAGCAAAAAAGAAGGGCAGATAAGGACGATAGATGTTTAATAGGAAAGAAAAAGCAAACCCAACCACAGCACCCGCCAACCACCCACAGTAGGTTTTACGGCGCTCGCAATTCATTTGAACAAAGAGAAACATATCAACACTTGTATTAACTGTCATTCGGCTTGTTTGGTTATTCTAAAAAGACGCACATCTATAAATAACAATCATATAAAGAGGACAAGAAAAGTCCAACGGACAGCCAGAAACAGCGAGCGAAGGAAAAGAAGTATAACTACCTGCGGTGCCCTCCGACATTCTCTTCATCATTCTGATATTTAAGACAAAACAGTTATGACCAGAGTCCAGACAGCAAATATGCCTCGCTACTCTTATTCATATAATGATCAGAGGATAAAGAATGTGCACGCATGTGTGTGTGTGTGTTCGTGTGTGTGTGTTCGTGTGTGTGTGTGTGTGTGTGTGTGTGTGTGAGAGAGAGAGAGAGAGAGAGAGAGAGAGAGAGAGAGAGAGAGAGAGAGAGACAGAGAGAGAGAGAGAGAGAGAGACAGAGAGACAGAGACAGAGAGACTGAGACAGAGACAGAGAGTTTAGTTTTAGCTCCCAGCATAGAGAGTTCAAATCCTGGCACACTGTTAACCCGAAACAGAAAGCAAACCAGCCAAGACGGTGACAAGAAGGTGACAACCGACAAGTGGATGTTAGAGCAGGTTCAACTGTAGTCCTAAAACAAAATCAGATAATTAAGACAAAAGCAGAAGTTTTACCAGGTTTTTAATCTGCATCTCCAGTTCTCTCTTGGCTGCCTTGACACCTTCCTCCTTGCCGATGATGGAGATGGTCTCCTGGTCCTGGTCGTTGGAGGAGGGGAAGATGATCCGCACACCCGTACTTTCTCGCACCTGTCCACATGGGAAGGAAAAAAAACCCCAACTTCAATTCCACAGTTTTTAACCACTAAGCCCATTTCAGTAACACCAAAAATCTCTTTAGGAAAAATACAAACACTTGCTCGCACCTGCCACAACGGAAAAACCGCAATACTGTATTCATCAACACAATTTTGATAATTTCAGAGGCAGTCTTGATCTAAATATGTCGATGGTGGAGTAAAAAAAACCACTTTTTTTTAAAGGCAGTCTGTTTCAAACCTGCCTGTAAGAGCCAATCCTGAGGGAGTAAGATACAACATCCAAGTGAACAAATAGACATACAGCCTGATAGACAGACAGCCCCACAGACATACTTGACAGATTAATTTCACCATTTGGAAATCAAACGTGTTTCTGATGGATTGAGTCGGTGTTTTACGGCACTATCCACTCAGTGTCTCTTAAGTTGAGTGAGGCAGAGCCCAAACATCAAACTAACCACAAATGATGGTAGCCTGAACATACACAGGCATCTAAACATGAAAAACTTTTTAAACAACAACAACAAAAAACCATTGAGCCTGAACCCAGCTCACCTTCTTGATGGTTGATCCTCCTTTCCCGATGAGGAACTTGTGATACTGAGGCTTGGCTGTCACGTCTTCCGTGTACGCATTCTCTTTCTGCAACAAAATTTTAACGATTATAATCTTTCGACATTACAGTTTACAGATTGAGAACTTTTGAAAATGAAGAGAACTCATTACGACATTATTTATTGTTTTAGAGGAAAAAAGCAGTAAACCACACCAGAGCACACGCCAACCACCCACCCAAAAATTATATATCAAATATAGATTGATACATCTATAAAACGTAAAATTAATAATATATTCATATAGGAAACATTCTAATACATTTATATAAAATATACTTAGGCACCCAAAATAACATACACCACTTGCATACACGAACCCATTGTCAAGGAGAAAAGTGTGGTCATCTCACATGGTCTTCTTGGACAATGTCATTAAAATATATAGCAAAAAATCGAAGGGAAGGAGGGGGAAGTAGCTAGAGCTATTTGTACAGGAGGTTGTCTTCCAACAGGTGGTCGTTTGAGCAGGTTCGACCATACTTATAAAAACCTATCAAAACAACAAATTGCCAGTTACCAAACAGCAGAGACTAACAGCCATAAGCTGGCAAAATGCCTATTTTTATTTTGGTGTCAAATTTTTTTATTTGCTAACTCGAAAACCTGATCAGTTACCCTTCTAAAGTGAAAAAATCAAAGTAAAACTTACTAGATATTGAATAAATTGGAATTCAAATTTCAGAATCACTATTTTGAAATGATTACGCTGACAAAAAAAGACCCTCTTCTTCTAGAAAGTACTGTGAAGAAAAACAAAAGGCGCGTCAGCTAACGGCAGTACTGACCTTCTCATTGGCCAGCTCCATGAGCTGCTGTTTGGCGTTCTCCACATCGGCGCTGGGCCCGCGGATCACCACCTTGTCGCTCTTGGAGCCCTCCTGGGGGAAGCGGATCATGACGCCCCCACAGTCCTCCATCACAGAGCGGATGAAGCGCCCCTTGGTTCCAATCAGCGAGTTGTGCAGCTTCTGCGGGATCTCGATGATCGCTTCCTTAATGTTCCCCTGTGGTCGGTAGAACAAGGAAGGCGGAAAGAAGAGAAAAAAAAGTGGGAGTCAGTCTCGAGCCAGAGGGTTCCTTTGTGCATTTAGGATTTAAGGAAAGCGAGTTAATGCTGAAATAGTCACGAAAAACTCGTGGGGAAAGCAGTTGTACAACAGCCAGCTCTCATGTCAGGGACACTAATGAGCTAACCTGAGAGAGAGAGAGGGAGGGAGGGAGACAGAGAGAGTGAGGTAAAAGGGGAACGAAGAGTGAGTAGAGAGAGCGAGAGAGAGAGAGCATGTGTGTGTGTGTGTGTGTGTGTGTGTGGTGGTGGTGGTTGGGGGGGGGGGGGGGGACAGAGAGAGAGTGAGACAGACAGAGAGTGAGAGAGAGCCAAAAAATCTAAAAACGTACCATTTCTTTTTGTATAGCCTCAATCTTGGCCTGAGCCTTTTCCACATTGGCCTTCTTGCCTGTGATGGTGATGACATCGCTGTCGCTGCTCTCGCTGGGAAGATCGATCTTAGTGTCTGTCTCCTCACGGATCTACGCCACAATGGGGGTGGCACAGGAGAAAAAAACACACATCAACAAAGCAAACATTTAAACTTTGAGTAAACAGAAGCACGTCGATACAATAATGGTCATTTAGTGCTGGGAAAAAGTAAGACGTACGGACAGACAGAAACAACAGAGGGAAAGTAAAGAAGTTGGACCTATCAGTGGCCCCCCTCCAACCACCCGCGGGGAACAATTTAAACTGGTAGCTTTTTTGTGAACACACAGGGCTGAAAAAAAGACCTCACAATTCCTTACCCAGAAGTATACAACAATGGAGTGGCACAGATGAGAAAACCAAACCAAACCAATAAGCACCCCCCCTCCCCCAACACACACACACACACAAAATAAACAACAACAACAAACAATGACTGTCTTCCTATAAACAATAATATTTCGAAGACGAAAACACCAACACTTTACTTTTCCAAGCAAACTTAACTGGAAAACTTACTTTTCAAAGACAACAGAACGTGAACAATTACTTTTGCTTACCTTCTTAATGGTGTTGCCACCTTTGCCAATGATGTTCTTGTGGAAGTCCTTGAAAATATGCACCTGAGCTTGATAATTATTTTCAACCTGCAAGAAAAACAATAAAAACTTTCAATCTCTTCCTCCCCATGTGAAATCACAATGAAAATGTTTGTAGTCACAGCCAAATACAGCATGACAACAATATTTGTGACGATCACCACAATCTCAGGGCATGATCATGCTGACCACATTCAGGAATAAATCTCCCCGCATGTTTTTCTTCCTTATACCCAATTACAAATTTTATAAATTTTCTCCCAACATTGCTGAAAAAAACAAACAACTACATATATATATATATATATATATATATTCATTTTTGTCTTGATTACACATATTATTGTTATGCTACCAACAAATAAAATCTAGCTAAACCCTTTTGGAATATAATTTAGATTGCTAAATGTGGATTTTCTGGTGTAACTACATTATCCACCTGAGATTACTTTTATTCCTCGTCAGCCTCTCCCTCAAAATTAACTTTGCCAACATATGGTCCCATTCCTCAGGCACATCACAGACAAAAAGTGATTGCAAAACTAGATCTTGTCATACTTTTATCCGCCGCTTATACCCTTTTGGGTAGATCTTGTCATGAGTGGGAAATGACAAAACTTCTTAAGAAACCACAACAAAAACCTCCCAACTCACCAGCTCCTTGCCCAGGTTCTGCAGATGCTTAAACGCCCTATCTACGTCATTCTTGGGCCCCCGCAGCGTCACCACGTCGCTCTTTTTCCCAGGGTCTGGGAACGTAATCTGGACCTGGTTGAATTTGTCTCTGATCTCCCGAATGTTCTCTCCCTTTGAGCCGATGATCTGCCGGTGGAACCTGTGCTCAATCAGCACGTCTCTCGACTTCTCATTTTCCTGTGAAGAGAAAAAACCCCCATCAGAACTTGGCAATACCACTACATCAGTGTTTCCCTAACTATATTCTCAGCGAAAACTCCCTGTGGATGTAAAGTCTCCCCTAACCAGCAATCAAGGCTCAGGGAGTTATCTTTAGGAATGTCTCAATGCTTTTTGGCTTGCAACACTGATAGAATCAAAACATGACTCGCATGACCATTCACAAGGACAACAGTGAGAAAAACATAATTAATTATGGGGAAAAAAATAATCTACAAAGATGATCTGAGTTTCAAAAGACTTAGGACCACATGAACTTCTTAACACACATACCATTCTGGTTGCCATTTCCAAAAGTTGCTCTTTGGCGACTTTAACACCCTTCGGGTCTCCCTCTATCCTAATGATGTTGCTGTTTTCTCCATCTGATGGAATTTTGATGGAAACACCCGTCTCTTGCTTAATGCGAGTGACTGGAGACAAAAAGAGAGAAAAAAAATTTTTTAAACACTAGAAATAAGATGAAAGCAATGTTCACACGTAATTTCAAACATGCATGATAAATGGGTAGGGTACCAATAACTTTCATATAATTGCAAAGGGGGTTAAAAACCCAACTTTCTTCACACAGTGCGACATCACAACAGATGAGGGTTGCTTGGCAACCAGTAAGATACATCTCTAATCCAGAATAAGCAAAACAATAACTATGCTGCTTAGAGCAGTTTCCAAAGGCGTCTTTGTTCCAACACTGGTCTCTCTGTACAAAGAGGAACCGCAATGGACAATACGGGGGGAGTCCTGATGGGGGTAACTTGTTAAGATGTTGGAAATAAAATTCTCAAAGTATGAGCAATTCCAGTAAATTTTGACGAAATAATTATAAGCATCCAGGGGGAAAAAAACCCTGTTTTGTTAACATATAGCTGATGGGACTGAATTAACGGAAAAATTGTGGCATCTGTGGCTTAGTGGTTAGGCTCTCAGACTCGCAACCATAAGTTGTGTCCTTGAGAAAGTACTTTACACTAATTTTCCTCACTTCACCCCTGTGAGAATGGGTACTTTGCTACAGATCGTGAAAGATCTGAGCAGTTTGTTAGTGTTTTTTGGTCCATGCAATCTGCAGCTTGCAGTGTATGCTTCCTGGGAAGTCAAGAATGACTGTTTACGAGTCTGCTGGGTTAATAATAGTTGAAAAGCGCATAGAGCATGCTGCAGAGCCTTGATATGTGTTATAAAAGTACAATTATCATTATCATTATTATATTATAATCTCTATCTGACTAGCATATGAAAGAACTTGACATCTTTGACCAACAAATGTGTAAGGTACTTACTGTTGGAACCACCCCTGCCAATAATATGTTTATGGAATTTTTGGTCCACTTGAATCTCAGCAAAATCCATGCGGTTTTTCTGGAAAAGAAAGGAGCTTGATTTCAAAAATTTGTTTATGAGTAAATAAAAGTAAATCAACAAAATAACAGGCCATTAAATGAAAGAAAAAAGGGAGACTGACCCCCCCCCAAAAAAAAAACCCCAAAACAACAGAAGACAGGAGGAAAAAAAAGAAGCAGAATCTCCCAGTGGCACACTCAAATCACTCGCAAGAGTGTCGGGAAGATAAAGCAGAAGACAAACAACACAACTGCGTCATATAAGTGTGAAAAATTAGAGGTTTTACAAGAGAGTAACAAACACAAAAAAGGAGGAGCAATTAGGACGACAGATGTTTGATAAATAAGAAAAAAGAAGCAAACAACACCACAGCACCCATCAACTACCCATGGCAACAAACCAGACCACAGATAAGAGCCAAAGGAAAGCACACCAACACGAGGCAGTAAGCAGACAAAAGTCATTCCAAGAGCACCCACCACTCACTCACGAACTGTCCAGAAAATTTTTTGTTGATTGTAGATGTTTTACGTCATCAACACAACTAAGATCATTTTGCAAGCAATGTCTGTATTGTATTGACCCAGTCGGGAAGAATAAGCAACAAAAGCTTAAAGAAAACTAAATGATAATTCTAGGTATTGAACTCCACTAGGTATTGAAGAGTGGAGGGGAGGGCGCTTATGCAAACCTACCAGGTCAGTGACGATAACGTTGAGTTTCTCCACAGCTTTGTTCACCTCCTCTGGCGGTCCCTCCACCGTGATCTTGTCCTGGCCCTCCGTGAACTCGATGTGAACCTGAACAAACAACAAAACAAAAAACACGTTTATGAAAGAATTAACATTTAGTAAGAGTTTTACAGCACTTGAAACACATATGGGTCATATAAATGCTAAAAATTAGAGGTTTTACCGGAGAAAAACATGCAAACGAAGATAAGAAGGAAACAAAGATGAAAAGGAGAGATAAGGATGACAGGTTTTTTTATACGAAAGACAGAGCTAACCCCACCAGGGCGCCTACAAATCCTCCGTGATTATGGAGTCTCAGTAAAGAGGTGTATACCCGTACAGCTGCAGTCATTTACTTCAAGTTAAGATAAGCACAACCACATAAACGTCATTTAGACCAGGAAAAAAGCAAGATACACAAAAACAGCTGGAGTAAAGAAGTAAGACATACCAGTGACACCCTCCAACCACCTGCCAACACACAACAGGTGCACTTGCTTATCTCCCTCTCATATTGTTTTAGTTTAGTTTTAATAAGTTTTACGGCACTTGCAACACAATAAGGTCATATAAGTGCAGAAAATTAGAGGTGTTACAAGAGAGTAAAAAACATAAAAAAGGAGAAAAGGAGGGGAGATAGAGACAATAGATTTTTTTTATAGGAAAGAAGTGAAAAACCACACCAGAGCACCTGCCAACCACCCACTCTCATATTGTTAAAAAAAAACTGTTTTGGTAAGCATTCTACGGCACTTGCAACAAATTAGGTCATATAAGAGCTGAAGATAAGAGGTGGTACTAGAAACGAGAGTAACAAACACAAAAAAAAAGGACGAGAGATAAGGACGACAGATGTTTGACAGGAAAAAAAGAGCAAACCACACCAGAGCAGCGACTCAGTTGTGAAGCACATTGACACAAAGGCCTAATGGCCATTTAGTGATGAGAAAAAGTAAGACAGACAGACAAACAGCAGAGGGAAAGTCAAGAAGTAGGACTTACCAGTGGCACCCTCCCACCACTTGCTCCCTCACATCAATGATTGAATAAACTTGTATAAATACAATAAGGGTGTATGGAAAGAGTAACACAGACAAAAACAACAGACAGAAATTTTTTTGCTACAAATAGGAAAGAGGAGCACATGATAACCGTGCTTTTCAGAAAGGGGTTATCCAGCCTTCTAGGAAGGTGTTTTGCAGCCCACTGGGTTGTCAATTGCTTTCCAACAAAAGAATATTCCTGCAGGTGACAAAAAAGCCCTTTACTGCCCGGTAAAAAAGGCGCATTAAAGCCAGCAAGTTCACAGACTGAAGAAAGCCCTGACACAATCTAGAGACAAACAGAAATGTCAGCCAAATGCCAGAAACACTCACAGCAGGAAAGTTCTCCGTAATTTCTTTAATGTTGCTGCCTTTCCTGCCGATGATGAACCTGTGTAACCAGGAGGGGGCAGTCACATCGGAGAACACCACACTGTTGGCCTGGGGAGGAGGGAGAGAAGATTGCTTTGAGTCTGCTTTGTTTGTTCGTTTGAGGTGTTTTACGGCACTATCGACTCAGTTTGAGTCATTTGAGTCTGCTGAAACATAGGAATCAATCAGTCATCTGCATGGTATGGAAATAATGTCTACAGCAGACAGGACTATGTTGAGATAATTAATTTTCCTTAACCCTTTCACGGCCAGGCCTGCTCCACAACCCTACCAAAGAGCCCAAGACAAATCATGGGCCAGGGATTAAAACTCAATATGTTAACTACAAATGATCTCCAAAAGACAGCTTAACCACCTCCCATTGAATCAAACTTATCTGCTCTTCCCACAGCTTTAAAAAAAAAAGATATAAACTTTTGTTTGTTTGAGTAAAGAAAAACTCAAAACACACACTAACCAAAATTTTGAACAGGGAATAAAGAAAGATGGGCAGACAGACACAAAAGAGGGAGAGAAAAGAAAAAGGACCTGCTAGCAGCCCACTCCCAAAAACCTTCAGATGCGAGTCAATTGACACTTAAAATTTTTTTTTTTTAAATTAAGATGTCTCTCTCAGAACTTCAAAGTGGTTAAAATGAAGCACTGAGAATAAAATCCCTAGACAAACTCCTGCATTTAAATAAAAGAGAAAATGCTTGCTTCGAGATTTTAAAGTCATACTGACACTCCATCTAACCTTGAAACATAGCAGAACCACAAACAATCCATACCTTGCTGTAGACTTCCGTCAAGGCCTGCCCCAGCTTCTCCTGCTCTCCTCTCAGCGTGATGGTCTCCGACGGAGAACCGGGGTCGGGCACCTCCACAGACACGCCCGTGTTGGCCAGGATCTCCTGGATGTTGGTATAGCGAGGGCCGACCACGTACTTGTGCTGGGACTTGCTCACCTCCACAGACACTGTCTGGCACCGGTTTTTCTGCGGACAAAGAAGTAATAACTTTCAAGGATGGGCGAAAAAAGAATGTTAAAAAACAAAACAAGACTTTACAAGAACAGAAAAATACTTTTGCTACAAGATTCGGGTAAAACAGGGTTTTCTTTATGGAGAGGAGCACAACGACATGATAAAATCATTATTTGCAGGGAAAAAGCAAGACAGACAAACAAGAACAACGGTGGAAAAGAACACAAATACGACCTTCTCATGGTGTTCTAGCTTTTAGTTTTAGTGCAGGTTTTACGGCGCACGCAGCTGCATAAGGTCACGCGAGCGCCATGGTGTCCTTTAGCCACCTTCCAATAGCAAAACACGGACCAACAAAAAAAAAATTTTTTTTTTCAAAAGGGCCATTTCATTTAAAGTGAGACTGCCAGGGACACACGCAACGAGGGGATGATAACTTGCTGAAAAGAAATTCTAAGCAGAGACAGCTTTCTGAAGCCATTTTTATCAACAACCCCCCTTCCACTACTCAAACATTTTTATCATACCAAAAAACAGAACATCTCAACCACATACCTTGTCCTCGTAAATGGCCATCATTGTCTGCTTACACTTAAGCACGCCTTCTTTCTCCCCAGACACCACAATCTCATCCTTGTGAGGGGGTACACTGATCTTTGCTCCAGTCTCCTCCGTCAGCCGTGTAATGTTCTCCTTGTTGGGGCCACACACAAATGGGTGGAACACCTTGGGAATCGGGAGTCGCTCAAACGCAAGCTTGGCCTGTCAAACAAGATTGAGGCATGCTGTTTACAGACATGAATATTTGTGTGACAGCAGCAACAGCAAAACAGTTTGAGTTCAAGTAAAGAGAAGCACATGGTAAGAGTAAGACTAACAAATGGAAACAATTCACAGCCACAACAGAAAATTCGACTTTGCATCTTACTACAAACACTATATTTGTCAACCCCTGAAACACTTCATTGGAAAGAGCTCTTTTTGGTAAATGAGAATAAAGTCTGCAAAACTTAAAATGTATCAATTATGGCTCACGTCTTTCCACAGGCCAAAATGCTAGCTGGTTTTTCAACTATAAGTTACTTGCATATCATTCAATTCCTCACTGCAATTTAAGTCCTAGTGACCTGACAGTCCTTCTCACCTGTTCCTCGTGGATTGCTTCGATTTCATGTCGTGCCTTATCGATCCCCTCCTTCGCGCCGGAGATACGAATTTCGTTGGGGTTATTCTTATCGTCAGCGCGCGGGAGGGAGATCTTTGTCGCAGTTGCTAGCTCGATCTCCTGCAGCTTCTTACCACTCTTTCCCAGAATAAAACGATGGTACTCACGGGGGATCACCAAAATGCTGCTGGCCTGTGTACAGAACATAGAAATAAGTCCGGATTACAAATATGCTGTTCGATAGCAAATAAAGAAAATGTGCACCTTACAAATAAAAAAAACCTGTGCTCATGTTTAAAAGCTCTGTAAATGAATATATAGAGGGATAACCTGGAATATGAGACAGTTATTCAGAATTTTGTTTGGAGATCTGTAAGTCGGTCCTTTAAAAATTAGTCAAGTATAAGGGGGGGGGGGGGGGGTTATGACCGCATGAGTGAGTTTTTGACATCAGTATAGACAAAAACTACAGTATAAACTAAAACTAATCTTTTTCTTTTCTCCCATTTAGAGACAGTGACCATACCCTAAGAAAAAAACAACCCCAAATTCAATACATAACAAAACCTCCGCCCCACAAGCAGAAACCTCAATATCCAAATTTTGAACTCTTCACCAATACAGTCTCCATAAAGAAAATCGTATAAACCAAGATCACCTGAGTTTGAAGTTTTCCAACAACTTCGCGCCTGGCCTTCATCACATCATCAGTTCTCCCATTGATCACCACCGTCATACTTTGATCTTTCGCAAGACTCAGTTCAATTGAAACATCTATAGATAAAATACACAACAATTTTACTTTACTAATAGAACACAAAACGATACAAATTTATTTCAGTACTGAAGCAATGAGACAACCCATGCACCCTCTTTCTTCAATGTATTCCAGAACCCCTCATTTCAGCAAAACTATTCGACCTGTTAAGCCACATAAAAAAAGTATCAGCAGGAGAATTTTAAAGAAGGGCACATTCGATTAACAGCCTATATCTACTAAATGCATAAGACGCAACAGCATCCTCTTTCCTGTGGCTCCTAAAGATGTACCTCAAAAATACACCCAATGTCACATCTTAGTTGCAGAAGTGAGACTGACTTACTCGTCTTCTGCATAATATCCTTGCAGATTTTCATCTGGTCACTTTCCTCTCCAAATTGCCTTTCGTTGAGCTCCTTAAACTTTCGTTCTTCCAGAGGTACAGTAAACACCTGAAAAGAAGACCCAAATTTCAAATTTATTAGCATTTTATTGGAATACTATTTGAATAAATTTCCTCTTGTTCTCTTTTACTTTTACATTTCAACTTTTAAGTAGAATAATGTAAGGCACTGTACTGAGGTGCTACAAAACTTTGAAACTGATAATTTTTAAAAATTGTTAATCATAATCATCTTATAAGGCATCAAATCGTGCTGGAAACTGAAAACTGGTATGGAAAAACCAAGACTTTCATCCTTCATTAGATCAAATATCCTTGAAACCTCCCAATTCCCACTCTTGACTTAATACTCCTAAAGCTTTGTATGAGCTTTCCTTTACCTGTGGGTAGTTAGAGCGTGCCCTACTTCTTTTATTTCTCTGTTGTCCCTGTCTATCAATCTCACCCTTTCAATGCACTATATGACACACATTACTGCATTGGTGTACTTTGCTTTACTTAAACTCGATCCCCTCCCCAGGCCAACAGCGTGGTGTTCTCTGATGTGACTGCCTCTCCTGGCTGCACAGATTCATCGCAAACAGAAAAGGTCAGTAGTAATGTCGAGGAAATCAGAGAACTTTTCTGCCTTGTCAAACAGAAGCAATATAATCTTCTCACCTGAGTGCACTTGGACTGCCTGGTCAGGAACTTGGGCTTCCACGCCCCCTGGTCCATGAAGTTGGCAGCAGGGCGGTCCGGGCGGGACTCGGGGGCCAGGGCAGGGAAGGCATTGTCGTACGTTGGAGGCTCGGGCTCGAAGGGCTGGAGGTCCACACTGGCTACAGCCACGTCACTCTCCATACTTGTTGCCATGGTGAGAAGTTGCAGGTTCTTGATAGACTTGCCGAGTCGAACAGTACAGCTGGAATGGTTGTCAAAGTAAAGAACATCCATTATCATGTTTAAGAGTTCTGAGGTACTGTTCCTTTGTTTAGGAAACAGAAACCCATAGTAACAATTTAATAACCAATTTAATGCTGGGAGAAAAGTAAGTAAGACAGATAGACACAGCTTATTTGAGTTCAAAGTTAGATAAGGTACTGCCTCAAAACAAAAAAAGCAAAAAAACAAAAAGGAAAAAAGGAAAAAAAAAGGCTTTATAATAACAACAACACATCAGACCAATGAAAGCGGACGAGTTAGAAAGTTGACAAGGACAGCTACACCCCCCTACCCCCCAAATGGTCACCTAACTGAATCATCAATCACTAATGAAATTATAATAGGGTTACTTATACCCTGCACGATACAGCTTCTCAAAAGAATTCTTATATTATTATTTAGCCCTTAATTATCAGTCCTTTAGAGACACCTTGAGTGGCGAGTTGCACAAGCCTGGGCCCATTTGAAATAAATGGAAAGCTCACACGCTGACTTTTATCCAAACTAAATCAATTCACTTTTCTTCGTACTGTCTTAATTTATTTTGTGTGACAAAGCATACAACTGCATTTGGGGAAAAATGCAGTTTTGAAAAAAATCGAAGGTGAAGCTTTTTACCCCTTGTTCAGTTTCTTTACAGTTTTCTCTTTAACTAAACAAATATACACACCAATGAAACCAAATTTCTCCTATAGGTAAGGCAATGCCCACTTTTGGTGTAGGTAAAGATTTCTGGAAACCCCTGAAATCTGGGTTAGCCCCCTTGTCCTTAAAAGCGACCATTTCAAAGGAGTTCAATATTATGGCGTCAAAAAAATTGTCTTTGTGACAAAAAGATAAATTTAAGAAGAAACAAAATATGAGAGAATGAAGAATGGAAGCCTAATTTTTGACAAAAGACAGTAAAATATCAATTCAATGGAAAAAAACATGAAAATTGAAGTTTTTTTGGGTTGTTTTTTTTACTAAACGTACACTTTTGCAGCTAAAGGCAGAATATATTGTCAGAATTTGTTTTTTTAAACAAGCAGCATAAATCAGTTCAAATCACAGCAGAACATCAAAACAGACTTCAACTGCAAATAATTTACAAAGTATAAAAATAAAACACCCCCCCTCCCCCCCCAATACTTTTAGAGTCTGACATCTTATGGAATAGAAGAATGAAGAAAAAAAAAAAGGAATATGAAATATAGACACAACTAGTCTGTATTGGGAACGGACCTTGATAAATATTGGAAAATTGTTTGCTTTTTCTTATACACCCCTCTCATGTTTACGTTTAATATACCGAAGTGGCTGCCAGTCTAGCCGTACTTAGATCTAGGTTTGGCCCTATCGACTCAAGCCTGTTTAGTACACAGGTCTCATTAGATCTAGATCTAGTAATTTTTCAGGTTCAAATACATGCAAGTCAGTAAGGCACCTTTTGGTTTTGTCTGAAATACAAATACTTCAGGCATTGCAAACTAAAAATTTCATTTACAATTCAGTCATCAATATTAAGTACGGCTAGCCTGACAGTCTAGCCGTCCTTAAGTACTGCTAGACTCTCAGTCTAGCCGTACTTAAGTACGGCTAGACTGCCAGTCTAGCCGTACTCATCTTAGGCCCTATTAACATTAGAAAACAGGAGGTTTAAAATACATGCACTGTCATTAAGGCACCTGGTTTCGTCTCAAATGCAAATACTTCAGGTACTGCACACTAAAAATGTATATTTACAATTCAGTAGGCCTATTTTTTGTAAATGGTCAGTCTAGCCACCATATTAAGAATAAGTACGGCTAGACTGCGAGTCTAGCCTAGACTGCGAGTCTAGCCGTACTTAAGTACGGCTAGACTGCCAGTCTAGCCGTCATTAAGTACGGCTAGCCTCTTCCTTAATATACTTCTTTTCTAGAGAAGTATTTTGCAAGCTGAACACGAATATGGCCTTCATTTTTGCCGCAAATCAATAGTTATTAAGTTATTGATGTTTGAAAATAGTAAATTTAACAACATAAGGGGTTTCAGGGGGCTAAAAAGAATTTGGGGGGTTTCTGGGAGGCATGCCCCCCCTGCATTTCACAATGATTTGATGTTTTGGCAATTAGGATTGATATTTACTTGAAAACAAGTGATTTGCAAGGGGGGTTTTAGTTTTAGTGGTCATAAGCAGGGTTGGTGATTTTTTTGATTTTTAAAATAAAAATCCAAAAAATCTATTCAGTTTGGGATTTTTGTTTGCTAAAAGTAAGTTCTTTTAGTGCAAAATGCATTGTCTTTATTTTAACTAATGATTAATTTTAGCAACTGCAATTTTAGAAAGCATTAATCTGCTATATCCAGTGAATTAAGGCTGCAGACAAAAAATGAAGAAAATGTCAAGTCTAAAAGGAAGGGGGGGGGGGGGGGAATTATGCATAGATAAACTTGCATTTTATTACAGTGTGTGTGTGTGTGTGTGTGTGTGTGTGTGTGTGTGTGTGTGCTTGTGTTTGTCTAAAAAGAAAAAGAAAATGTTAATTTCAATAGTGATAAAAAAAGTAAATTGAATACTGTATTATTTTACAGCAGACTTTTAAGCATGATTATATTAGTCTACTAAACCTTATATCTGTTTTATAAAACCAACGAAAGGAATTCTGAATGTTTAAAGAAGTAAAAACAGAATACATTTTTTTTAAGTGATTTAAATCACTGAGTTTTATTTTTAAAATCAAGTCATGATTAAAATTATTTTAAATCAACTGATTTAAATCGACCTGATTTAAATCAGCCCAACCCTGATTTCAATTATGAAAAAATAGTCAATTGAATACTGTATTATTTTACAGTGACAGGGGGGAAAGCAGACTTTTAAGTATGATTATATTAGTTTACTAAACCTTATGTTTAATAAAACCAAGGAAAGGAATTCTGAATGTTCAAATATGTAAAAACTGAATACATAAAAATCAAGTTGATTTAAATATAAAAAAATCAACTGATTTAAATCAACCCAACCCTGGTCATAAGTGTTCTACAGCAAAAACTATGGCAGTCTAGCCCTCAAATCAATGCATCTCTATGTGTTGGTGCATAAGTAAAAATCTACCGAAAAATACTTTAAATTAAAGCAAACCCCATAAGAACATGACAAAGTACCACAGTAACTATAACAAAATTGTATGGGTTTTTTTGCTCTCATTTACACAGGCTGCTTCAATCTTTTCTGTTACGGCTTAAATTAAAGCAAACCCCATAAGAACATGACAAAGTACCACAGTAACTATAACAAAATTGTTTATGTTTTTTTTGCTCTCATTTACACAGGCTGCTTCAATCTTTTCTGTTACGGCCAACCCTGGATGAGGAGGGGGATTCAACATCCCAACAGACATACACACTGTATTTTTAAAATTCCCCACTCGGGAGTCGAACTCCTGTCTTCTGCATACTACTAGAATCTAGAAAACATCTAACATTCTAACCACCACACGACATATACGCTAGCGGCTGGTATGTCTCAAGCATTGAGACCTTATGTTACAGTTCATATTTGACAACATCATGACGGCTAGGCCAGACAAAACGTTTTAGGTAGTTAGTAGTAGTAGTAACATCATGGTATCCATCGGCCACCTCTATTCTCACCCGGAGTGAGAATAGTGCAGGCGAGTCTTGTGGCTATTCTCGCCCGGTGCGCCTTCACCAAATTTTGCGATCACCCTAAACCATAGAATTCTACACTGTGAGGAAAAATTGTAGAATTCTGTGCCGTGAACAAACATTCCATTACAACTGTAGCCTACTAAAAGCGTACAATTTTGTCTGTGGGCAGTGGAGAGAGAGAGAGAAAGAGAGAGAGAGGAGTAGCGCGAGAATTTCCGGGCAAAACAAAATGGCGACCCGCGTAGTTCGGCTCGATTCGAAAAGTTAAATAGCCGTAGCATCTTTGTAGACAACCAAATTTATTTACTTTTGTATTTTAACATCATTTTTTAACTTTGTTTTGGTCAATTTGATCGTCCACACCGATAGACAGTATTCAGAAAGAGACAGAGAGAGAAAGAAGAGGGGAGGAGTTGATCTTGCGAGAACTTCCGGGCGGGTGAGAATAGCCACTTTCGTATCCATCTACGTAAGATTTCTATTTTCTACAGTTTTACAGACAAGGGGTTCATCCAAATGGAAATGAATGAATGAATGAAAGAGAGCAAAATAGAAACTCTTCATTTAAGTTTAGGTCTTGGCCTTAGTAAATAGTGAACAGTACTGAAAAGGAAGGAACAAACGTCACAATAACAGGCCAAAAGATTAAGATGCACTGATCTAGACGATCAATATGGGTCTGTTCCAAAGAACAGCCCTTTCACAGACAAAAAAGAATGAATGCAAAGCTCAGCAGTTTAGAGTTAAGAAACAGTTACAAAATAAGAAGAGGTAACAGCTGTAGAAGCTCAGGAAGAGGGGGGTGATTGAAGAATCAATATAGTCCTGTGTGCACTTAACTTAGAGCTATCTCCCCGAAAAACTTGAACCAGCAATTCTTGATTGATTCCCCCCTCCAATCAAATTTCTTTTCCTCTCTGTCTCCGTGAAATATAGATCTTAAGCCTACTAGCATAGATCTAGATCTAGATCTAGGCCCCAGTAACATAGACATAGAAGCATCACACATCACTTTCACAATTTTATTGAAATTAAAAAGCACCTGAAGTCTTAGCTTAAGGAGAAAATAGACAAATCATAAATGTTTGAAAAAGACAACAATGAAGCAGCAAAGAATTCAGAAAACAAGATGGACCAATGCCAATAATACTAATCGAAAAGACTGTTAGATTTTAGATCTATTCTATCAGACATCAGTTAGCAATTAGGATCTCAAGTTGTTTAAAGTGGTAAAAACCCGATGAAATTATAGTCATGCCTACTTTTACTTTTAGAATATATGCCTCCCTTCGATCACATCTCGACAATACTGTTTTCTCATCAAGTACACGTAAGTGTAAGTCTAAGCCCTGGCTGTCTCGACTTTGCCTCGACTGACTACACTACACATTCCCACCAACCAAGCATTCAGTTTCAGTGTTGGTTAGCTTTCTCATTCTTGATTCCAGCTGTCGGTAAACTTGGCAGTATTTTTCTTAAATAATTCACCGAAACAGCCAAACATCACATTAGACCTTATAGTACAGATCGAGTAACAAAAACGCTCATCAGAACAGGAAGGTACGCCAAGACTGTCACGCGAATTCTACATAGTATTGTGTACACGTTGGCATCATAGGCTATGATTTACACTCGCCGAGAAGAGGACGGGCCCACCTCAGTGTAAACTACATAAACATACTTACATGTACTGTGTCCGTAAAAGTCCGTCCTAAGGGGTTGCTATCGTTTCTCCAATCTCCACTGTGGCTGAATATTGCTTCTGAAACAAACAATACGAAAGTAAAGAAAGGAAATCTTAATAAAGTCACAAAAATATGGGAAAAAGTATGAGAACTATAACTTACCAACCACGAACAGGAAAGGTGAGGATGTATGTGAAGAAATCCCATCTACGTCTCTGCTATTATTCGTGCGCCTATAGTTGTTGCCTACGTCACGTCTGCCACCATTGGTCATAATACTGAACTTGTGGCAAAATCTAGCCATTTTGTCCAATCAGAATGAAGTTACTTTCCTCTTCATGAAGAAAAATATTTCCCAAGTTGATATCGTATTGTATAATACTGTGACCATCTATATTGTTTTAAGCCTCATATCGAATTTGAAATACTTTAATAAATTGTGTTGAGGGAATAAACAATAAAGTTTGTATATCCTGCATGTTTTGAAATGGTTCGGTTTAAAGGTGAAAGGTCAAACACAAAAAGTGACGAAGGTCAAAGTGCTGAGAAGTGGGTGTGATCTCGGAGCTCGCGAAAACAAGTCACATGACTTTTCTTCTGAAAAATCGGCCGATAGGCCTTGCTGGACGCGTCGCCGACAAACAGTGACACGTGTGTTCGAAGACCGAGTTTTGGGCTTTGGGAGTTGTCGAGTTTTTGCGTGTGCAGTTCAGTAAAGTTTTTGTAACGGCGCTGAGGGTGGTCGGGTGAATGATAAAGCCGGTCTACTCTATATATAGATACATTGTACATGTATCCATATGTGAATTCTATTCAGCTGTATATCTCCTTTTACTTTACACATAGCCTACACAAGTTACCCCTTTAATTCCCCGCCCCAATTCTTCCTTCATTGGATAAAAACAATAATTGTTGTTGTTATTTTTCCTCCATTTGTAGCGTTTTTTGTGTTTTGTTTTGTAGCGTTTGTTTATTTGTTTTAATGAGTAGGTGCTTTCACGACTTCACCGACACAATTTAGATCATTTAGCAACCTGCGCTGAAAGGGATGGATACAACCCCCCCC